AAATAATTTTTTTTCTATGATTTGTGTCGCTGTCATTTCGTTTCTTGCTTCTAGATTTCAGCACTACTCGATTTTCTTCGTAATTTTGTATAGGATAATTAGGAAATCGTCGTCGTTTTCCCCCTTGTTTACTGAATATTATTCTCAATTATGGCAGTACATCTCTTTTAAGCACCACCTTCTTAGAGTTGCAATGCATTTTGAACGGAATTATCAGGAGTTATGGCGAAAGCATGTAGAAACCAAGCGACCCAACGATGGAGTTGTTTACGCTGAGTTCCTATTTATCCGTGAAAGAATGATATTAACTCAAACTAGTCACCAACAAAGCGGTTAGACTTAGGAATAAGACTTCGTTCCTGTTTTATTTTTGGTTTTTGTTTAATTTAATGTTTTTTTTAACGAACGAAGTCGTTCAAGACTGAATCAAATTAAAAGATTTTGAAAGCCATGCCGAAATCAAGTTGATTGTCATTTTATTTCGAAGCGAGAGTATGACTTTCTTGATCAAAAATTTCAAACATAAAAAAGTACAAACCTGAGCTTTTCTCCATTTTTTTCTACATCTCTGACTTCAATTGGCAGAAAAGTTTCCAATCACGGTAAAAACGACAATAACAACAAATAACACTGAATAATACAGTAGGTAAGCCTCGTGATATTTCATTTTGATAAGCTTCAACATCAAGCAAGTTTAATTTATTGATAAATTGACTCATGATAAAAATTAACAATAACCCATTCTTAGAGTTTTCATACAGGACTAAAGAAGTGTATCAAAGAACAGCCCCTTCGCCGTTTTTCGCCTTCAATTACAAGTGTACTGAGCCCTAAAATCTTGGATCCGGCGCTTGCCAACGATTGTGTTTCATTTCGGGAACCCAGCATAAATGAAGCGGTAAATTTTCCCAAAATACACCGAATAAACCAAAGGAAGGGACCAGGTTATCCTGGGAATGAGTTCTGAAATAATTCCAAACAGCATTATCTCGTTTATAAACTTACACAAATCCCGGGCGTTTTGATCGCGACGGGAAAACCGGCGTAATGACGTCCTTAACTTGTTGGGGAGAACGGCAACGCTAACACCGGAAGTCGAAATAGAGTCGTGTCCAGACTATCCGCGCGCTTTCCCGTCCTGAAATGACGTTCCCTTCCTCTTGCTAAATCACTCTAATCACTCGATTACCGAAAGTCGGCCGACAGTGTTAAGTGGACCAAAAATTGACTGAAAACAAAGTCAAAAATTTTCCAGTCGAAAACAGAAAATAGAAACTTGTCGATCGCATGGTCCGTACCTATCTACTTGATTCTGTTTAAACGGTAAAATAAGCTTGTTTAACCCATCTCCCGACCGTAAGTACCAAAATTTGGGGCAAGCAGTCATACCTAGCAACTTCAAGAGAAGATATAAAAGAAGCCCATACGATCCTGGCGTATTTTTTACTAACTCACTGTTCACACGTGTTTATTCTTCAATCGACCGGCAAAGTAGTTTTTAGTAGCTTTCAATATCGGCTCATTTTCCCAAACCAAAATCATCATTTACGCTCAATAGAATATAATTTCAACTGATGCTGACATCGCACACTTCATCTGAAGAAGAAGAGATTTCCTGTCTTCGAAAAGTTGCTCAAAACATGATGATCAGGAACAACAACGAAGGTTGTTAGCTGAGTGGAGATTTACAACGGCGGAAGGCTGAGGAGAGAAAAAATTTGTACCGAGGGGGTGACTGACGGTCAAATCTGACTCTAAATCAAACATGGCTGGTTTTAACACGATCGCGAGCTTCTTAATGTTAACTCTCACTTATTAGGCGCCTACGTTGCATACTAGAACGGACTATCTTGGGTAATCTTCAGATCCTTTCATTCACTCTTATAATCAATTCAAAAATCCCTCTCAAAAACCTTTAATATAGAAGAAAGAACTGACTCTATTCAGGCCCGCAGTGAAGAACCTGAGTTTTTAAATTCAAACATAGTTAGCGCAGCCAGTTTGAGTTTCCAGATGGTTGACAGTCAGGTAACATGCTGCGGTTTGGGATTATAATTTTCCTTTTCGTACAAGGTGGCACGTTCATTTGTTTTTATTCTAATTATTTAAGAGGTTTTGGATATGGAAAATAATTATAATTTAGGAAGTTCTGCGCTGGTTGGTTACATTTGAATGCATCACACCTTGAAGAACATCAGACATAACGGTACATTTTTTAACTCGAAGTCTGCCACTCATGAAACCTTTGTCACAGGGAAGTTTATATTTAGAATCTGTCATGAATTCCTTATGTTACTGCGAGGTCAAACTGCGGGTACTCTTTTAAGATACCTTTGTCATTTGTTTCCGAGAATTATTACGCGGTACTCGACCTGTCACGGTCGAAATTTTGAAGCTTTGTTTGCCGTTAAATCTTATCTGATTCTTTCCTCCACCAGCCGGCTTAACTGGCGTTTTTGTGTGGGAAAATTACTATTTCCGTCCCAAAGCTCTCGCAGCCCTGCCACCTAGCATTCAAAGCTCACACAACCGCGAGTTACATGTACACAGGCATTCGCAGGCATGTCTCCACAGCAACTCAACGAACAGCACTGCAGAGTTTATATACCATCGACAACAATACTGTTGATTGCCAAGGATGCTTTCACTGTCAAAGGGTGTTTAATGGCTTAGCTGTTCGAGCAATTTTGATGAGTCTTTTCTTCATAGTAATACAAGCCTGATTTTTTTGCGATTCTCAGAATTTTGATAATCAATAGCATGCTGTGTTTCCTCGCAAAATAAATACATCATTCATTGAAATTCAATCGGCCATCAATAGCCTATTGTTTGTAATGCCTAAAAGAGCCAATGAGGATCGCCGTTCATACGCATGACCAATAAGACATATATGCTGTTGATATTATGCCGTTGGCTACGAAGAGGTTCTCGAACAGCAGATGACTCAATTTATCCCTTCATTTATATTGAAGCACAACCAATAGACAGTAATTCTGAGCAACGTTAGTCGAGGAAAGTGCCTGTTTTAAGAAAACTACTCAAAGGAAACACATTCTTTGTATTGACGTCTAGCAGAGAATAACCGCTCGCAGGTATGTCTTTCTAATATGTTCTATTCTTTATACTTCATTCCTGGCTTCAGTTAGGAATTCTGCAGCTTTCCTCCCCGAGGCTACCTAGAATACAGTTGAATGCGCTCAATGCAAGTTTAGAAAATCAGTAGAGTCCATGCGATCCAACTGAAATTTGGGGAAGTGGCTAACCTGACGCAGCCAACACTGCGTGTGTAACAACGGAAATATGTTTACATCTAATGCAGACTAGTTGAGGCGCCATAGGTAAAGATCGTCAAAAACTACTCGTATAGGTCAAAATTTCATTTTCACTAAATTCCCGAGGGAGCAAGAGCACAGGCAGCGAAATATTGTCATAATTAACGTCTGAAAATATTCTTTCTCGGAAATAACGCAACCACGTAGTAGTTGGAATGCCGTAGGGCTACAACGATCGATTTATTGTCGGACTGAAAATATAGGAATTTCTAGAAAAGGTGTCGCTATATCCGATAAAAGATGCTTATAATGCGACGGGCTATTTTTCCATTGCAGTGTTCCATGGAACATTTTGCCTTTACTATTGCTTGCGAATTTGAAATAATCTACGCGGGTTTGCGTGAACAGTATGTGACTGCTAACCAACAGTTCAGTAAGCGTGCCATTGTCTCGTGATAATGAGCGATCCACTAAGAGAGTAAGTTGTTTTTCGAGGAAAATAGGGTTATGATAAGCTTAAATCAAGTCTACAATTCATACTAAGGCGGGCTTGAGTAAGCTATATCGAAATCTGTCAAGAAATCGACGGTAATTATTCTGACATTTTGACTAATCTATTGAGCCGAAGCAAAAGTTTGTTTAACCCCGGGCATAGTCCATTGCAGCCTTACCAGAGGCTTTTTAGCATAACTATGTTAAGATATAATAGAGATATAAGCGTAAATGTTCGAGGTTTTTCGTCTGAATCGTTTTAATAACAGTATCGTAAATTGGCTGAATTTTGTGAGAAAACGACCTGTATGTACAGGGCAGTGACAGAAGGCTGTGTGAGGCAAATAAATTACTTTCGAGGCTGTGACCTTGCGCTCACAATTCCGGATGTGATGTTGAAAACACAGTTCAATGATATTTATATCGTTGTGTTTGAAAGGAAGTTATAAACTTCGATTTTCATATAGATTTCATAGTTAATTGTAGTGAAGCGTTGTATATTTTTTTTCTCTCATATGTAAAGGAAAATATAAGAATTAGATCTCCTAGAGGAAATCTATGGAAGGTACATAAATTTTCATATCAGGTAAAAAATGATGAACGAAGAAGGTTCAGAAGTCTCTTCAGTCACAATAACGAAAATTACACTACCTCTGCATGATAAAATTTTACTTAACCCTAAGCTTATACAAGAGAAAATGTTCCATTATTTTCTCTTGGCTCATGAAAAAAAATGAACAAATTAAAGTTTGCAGAGTTTCTCCGTTCCTGAGGCAGCCAGGAACTACTTGAGTTATTGACACACGAAAAGCTCCAAACAATTGAACTGCATTGAATGGGACAATGTCTGATATATTTTTATAAGGCTATCAGCCAGTTGCGATTGAAAAGATTGATCGTTTTCGTCTGTCAACGTGTAATGGTATTTTGAACGTCTACTCTTCTATTTTGCTACTATTTATTCAGCATTTTGTCTGTTTTATAATCAAGACCTTAGCGAAAATGTTAATGACATGAAGCTAGGTAAGGAGAAAGTATACTATGACAGTATTTTGAGTTTTGGATCAAGTAACGTTAGTTCGACTGTAGAGCGAGATACTTATCTGAGTACTGAAAATGGGAGGATATTGAGTAAAATCTTAGTGAGAGTTCAAATGTTATTCATATTCTCAGTGAAAATACACAACTGCCCGTGCCCCTTAAAAGCAAGACATCAAAGTTCCGACGTGCGTAGCCATGGCGAGTCCTCCAACATCACCCTTTGCCAGTTCCATAGAAAAGACCAATGGTGTGAAGTTATGGAATCTTGTTACTAATGGGGGAGCAGCAGCATTAAGGATCCTCCTGAGTAAATCTCACTCCCCTCAACCATTAGCTACTTGGCTCGGTCAACATAAACAAACACTTTCAAGTCTCAAACCCAGGGTACTTATAAATGATCAGTGGCGAAAGCTCTTTCCGTCTGATGGAACGCAACCAGACTGTGAGTCATTTGACATAACACTGCTCGTGATCCTTTTAATCAACATTTGTGGTTTGTCTCCTCCCAACACCGGGTGGAACGACAAGCCTCCTCGGAGCGACAGGTCAACAGAAGCAAATATTGCTCGCATCAGGTATTTTCGAAATCTGCTCAATCATGCTCCGTCAACTGGAGTTAACACGCAAAACTTCAACTCCTACTGGCAGGAAATTGCTGATGCTTTGGTTGCTCTCGGACTAGATCGGAATGAAATAGATGCCTTAAAGAAAGAGAAAGAGCTAGAGAAACTGGCACGTTTTGATTTTGCAGGAGACATAAACCATCACCTTGCTAAATTTCAGAACGGAACGCGAGAGTGGGTCTTCAATGAGGTCGAAAATTGGTTGGATGGCAGTAGCTCCTTGCACCGTGCAATGCTGATCACTGCGGCTGCCGGAATGGGAAAGTCCGTCGCCAGTGCAGCCATTTGCAAGAGAATGCAAAGAGCAGACAGAGTAATAGGGTGTCATTTTTGTCAACACAGCTTCGACTTCTACCGTGATCCGAAACGAATGCTTCAATCACTGGCTTACCAGTTAAGCTCGAAATTGCCAGAATACAAAGCAGCCCTCGTGGAGCAGCTCTCCAGTGAGCGCAGCAAAGAACTAGAACATATGAGAGTGTCAGATCTCTTCGTGTGGCTCTTTGAACCCCTTTTCGCTGTGGCAGACCCTGGCAGAAACGTCCTTGTGATAATAGATGGCCTGGACGAAAGTGAACTCGATGAACGCAATGAGTTACTAGATGTCATCGCCAATCACTTATCTAAATTGCCGCTTTGGATAAGATTTCTAATTACCGCAAGACCAGAAAAAAAGATTACAGACAAACTCAGCAATCTGATGATTTTCAAGTTGCAACAAGAGGATGAACGGAATCGTGATGATATCAAAACTTTCTTCGAAAAGGAACTAAATCCTTGCGTAACAGGCCCAGACGGCCTCAGTTCAACAGTTCAAGAGTTAGTCCAACTTTCGGATGGCTCAATGCTCTTCGCATACTTTTTAATACAAATGATCCAAAACAACACTTCACCAGGAAGTCCAGAGGAACTTCGTCGACAATTCCCACGAGGCATTTCCTCAGTTTACCAGTCCTATTTTGAGCGAATGGAGAGAAGACTGGAGGAAAAATTGAAGGACAACTATGGCAATTTTTTGACTGATTTTCTGAGTGCTTTGACTGTTTCTGAAGAACCTTTGCACAAGGATTTCATCATGGCCATACTGCTGCAAAACAGTAACACTTCAGAAAGTGATCCCTTGAGCGATCAGCGAAAACTTAAGGGTGTTATTGACTGTATTTCTTCTCTTTTCATTCTTCGAGATGACCAGGTTCACATGTTCCACAAATCCATCAAGGATTGGTTGACAGACCCGTCCAATGATTTTTTCTTCGTAGACGAGAAGAGAGGTCATAAGATTCTGTCTAAGTTGTGCGTTAAGGTACTTGAAATTGAAAAGAGACCTCGTGAACACCATGCAGAATCGCCTACTCAAGCCATGAAGAAATACGCCTTACGACACGGTGTCAAGCACATGCTGGAAGCATTAGAGACCGAAAGCGCTCAAATGGAAGAATTAGTTCATGGGTACGTGACAGATCTCGAACTCATTTATGCCAAGCTATGTACAGAGGATACGGATGTCCTTAAGGATCTTGTTCTTGTGCAAGAACATCCGAATTCAAGGGAACTAAGCAACGAAATCGACAATACAATTGAAAGCCTTTTATTACAATTCAAGAAAAACCCTAAGTTGCTTCGAGATAATCCTGGGATGATTTTCCAAAACTTACTCAATGAAGGAGAATCAGCACTTTATCAACAGGTGTCTGATACTCTTTTGAGTTCCCATCCGGAAATACCATATATGGAGCTGTTAGACAAAAATGGTCACCAAGGCCCTGTTGTGGATCGTTTTTTCTGCTCTGACATAGTTGTTTGCTTTGATGTTTCCCCAGACGAAAAACTCTTGGTAAGCGAATGTCGTGATGGAAAGACGTCGTTATGGTCACTTGAGACTGGAAAGCGGCTATGGGAAAAAGCTTTATTAAAATCGATGAAGTCGTACAATGAAGTTCCACTTGGAACTGCTTTTCGACAGAAGTACGAAGACAACGAGACTGGGAAAAAGACGCTGTCGTTTTATCGTTCCACTGTCTTCCATCCAGACGGTTGTTCCATTTTGCCAGGAAACTTGGCCAAAGTCTACAGCTTAGATGGAGAACCGAAGTCACTCTTTCCAGGGAGCAAATGTCATTTCACTGTTTGCTATTTCTCAGGTAACAAAACTAGGATGTTAACTGATTGTCCAGAAGACGCCCATCGAGTGGTCATGTGGAACACTAAGAATGGTGTGGAGATCAAACGCTTCGAGAGCGAAGAAACTATAGCTTCTTTTGCTATTTCGCAAGATGGAAATCGTGTTGCGATCTGCCATACAAATGGCTCACTCTGGTTACGAACTGTTGAAGATCCCAGCTGGATGAAAGCACCTCAGAACATTTCTGGCGAAGGTAACCCTTGTGGACTGTTACATTTTACAGAAGCAGGAACTCTTGTCTGTGGCAGTATCCAACATGAGCTGTCTGATCACCGAGACAAGTACAAACTTTCGGTGCCAGCGTTTCAGTCACAATCATCTTGTGTCTTTCTGTGGCCGTGGGAATCGGTTGATTCTGTCGATAGATTGAAAGTCGTTTGTAAGACATCCCATTTCGTTTCTGCAGACTTGCAAATTGGATTTTGCCTCATGTTACTAAGAGATTTGGCAGTGGTCGGGAGTCCAACTGTTAATTACTTAACGATGCTTGATATTACTCGTCCCCTAAAAGACGAAGAGATGCCACGGACAGCACAAGCTGCGTTTTCTACAGCCAACGATAGCACGCGCTTGTACACAACTATCGCCATTTGCAACCATGCGGAAGGAATGAAAACAGATGAGTCACGCTTAGTGACATTTACTATGCGGGACGCAAACAATGCCAGGGAAGTGAAGCAGGAAAAGTCCTTCCAACACAGTTCACGTCGTGTCGAGAATGGGATCCTGACTGTAACTGTCACATACAATGGTGAGACAGGCGTCCTCTTGCAAACAGACAGCAAGACATTAGAGGTATGGAACATTGACTTGTCTCAAGGTCTAAACTCTATTACCATGATGGGCGAAATCGAAAGACTAATTCCTGTATCGCAAGATCTTGTTGGATGCGTTTTATGCATCCCTAAATTTTCATCCGAAGGACAACAGGAACTTACGATTGCCTTTTTTGATGTCTCCGCGTGGAAAGTTGTATTTGAAAGAAATTTGAGTGGTAAACCAGAACTGAAATCGATTGCGTGCAGTCTTCAAAGAGATGTGGTGTTCTGTGCTGAAAACGACGCAAGAAAGCGCGAAATGTTCTTTTACAGAGGTGAGGCAAATGTTCCCATCAGGGGAGAGGACGACATTTACCAAGGCGGTTGCAACTGGAGACATCCCCATTGCGTATTTTCTCCTCAGGGAGATGTAGTCGCCACGTGGAATACTCTGAATGACGGCTATGGATTGCACGCTCTCAGTGCGAAGAATAGAATGAAGGAGCTTCATGTCTTCCTGGAAAACTGTTACGACATCGCCGACTGCAGGTTTCTCAACGATGGCAAGACTATGGTCTGCTACAGATACGAGTCTAACGTACGACTTTTCAGTGTTAAGTCCGGAGAAGTACTAGCTGTCTTGGACATAGGAGAGCGCCCGACCTGTATAGGATGTTCTCCTGATGAGCCTCTTATTGCTGTTGGGCTACGTTTTAGAAAAGTAATAGTGATTCGAGCACACGTGCCAAAACTACGGGGAGCCAACCACAAACGGAGAAAGGGTGAGTTAGTATCTTTATGATAAATGTCAATGGGTTACAATGTAGATAGTACTTGGTTTGCTGATTGATTTATCTGAGTGATGTTTCATTTTTATGTTGAAAGGAATTGATTTTTTCTTAACTTATTCAAGATAAGTACCTGGTCCCCCAAATTTGGGCCTCCTTCGCCGTCAATTATTTTCGAAACTTAAACCAAGACCAACTGGGTCACTCGCCAATTTAATTTACCATGTGTTTGTTTAAGTCATCGTGAACTTCTTAGGATGTCCATCTTTATTTCATTGTTATTGGCTGTTTTGGTCTCTTTGGTTTTGATTTAACGACTCGTAAGAGAGAAGCACTCTTTAAACTTGCTTTGTGTAGGTAAGCATGTATGTCTCACGAACATACCGTTCGTTTCCTTACGATCAAAAGAAATACTGAAGGGTCCTTGATCACCTGGTTCCTTGAGGTCATGTCTAGGGTGAAGGCATTCCTGCCTACTGGATCAGTTATGTCTGCATTCAAATCTGTTGGACCTAAGCCCTACCGTTTATCATGATGCCAAAGTTAGCCTTGTTACAGAAATCATCATTATGTACATTCATAATTGCAGGATTTTTTTTTGCAGGACCTGGTGAGAGTCTAATTAGCGGAGATTAGCAAGTCAAGAGGAGTAAGTGTCTGTAGGAAGTCGCGGAAAGGTGTTAGCTCAAGAATGAAATAATCATTATGAACACTATTTTAAAACTAGATTAAGTGACTGTTCATGAGAACAATACAATACAATACAATATTTATTTGCCATATACGACATTTACACATGGAAAAAAAAAAAATGAAGAAAATTGATGACAGAAAATAAATGGCGAGAAAACCTGAAAGAAACCACGAGGCTTATAACAAGTCAGGCTTTCTCACTTAAAATAACTAATCTTATATTAGAATTACAATATGGACTTATGGTAATTAACTTTGACCGCGCACACGTACACACACACACACGCACACACATATTAACTAAGTTAGTTAAGAATTACTGCCTTACAGAAGCTAATACTTAGAGAGAAGAAATTCCTTAAGCTTTCTTTTAAAAGAAGCGGAGGAGGGAGAACTAGTTATGTCAGAATTTAACGAATTATAAAAGTTTGGACCTTGAAAGTAAATTGAAAACTTCCTTGTGTTCGTTCTGCACAGTGGCAAACGGAAGGACTGAGCATTCCTAGTATTATAATTGTGGATTTGACTATTCAGTAAAAAAAAGTTATTGAATTTGGAAGGGAGTGTAGAGTTCTTGAATGAAAACATAAAAGTACCTAATTGAAACGAATGGATATCATGAAATTTTAAGAGTTTAAGTTCCTTTAAAATAGGGCCAGTATGGGCAATGTATGTAGAATTGCTTACTATTCTTAACGCACGTTTCTGTAAGGTTACAATTCTTTGAAGGTTTGACTTATAGGTACCAGCCCAAGCTAAATTGCAATAATACAAATATGGAAGGATCATAGAATTGTATAAAGTACGAAGGGAGTGAGTAGAGAGAAAAAAACCTAGATTTATGAATAATACCTATAGATTTGGATAATTTATTTGCTGTTAAGGATATATGCGATTTCCAGGTCAAATTGTCGTCTAATAAAACACCCAAAAACATGGTCTCAGAAACACGAAGAATAGGCTGCTCATTTATGAAAACTTGAAATTCAAAGGATTGCTTCTTTTGCCAAGGCTTGAATACCATAAAATTGGTCTTGGCTAAATTCAAGGAGAGCCGGTTTGCTGCAAACCAGGTTGACAATTTGTTTAATTCTCTATTTAATGTGTTAATTAGGTAAACAGGGTCATTATGGGAGATAAATAAGTTTGTATCATCAGCAAACAAGATTGCATCAAGCAGGGAAGCATTGTTCAAATCATTAACATACAGGATAAAAAATAAGGGACCAAGAATAGAACCTTGAGGCACCCCACAGGGAATCCCCTGTGGGGCAGATCTAACGTTATTAAATTCGACAAATTGTGTCCTCTCAGAAAGATAACTTTTGACCCATTCTAGTGCCAGACCACGGATCCCATTTCTGACTAAGTCAGAATTTATTGATAAAAAATTAATCGTCAGAAGGACCTCATTAGGGATCCCAGGGAGCCAAGGTGGCAAAACTGGGGAAAACGTCGATGAAAAAATGATTTATTTTTCGTTAGGACTTTTTCTTTAGAACGTGGAGAAGTTGAAGTTCATTTCTCAGTATACATACCAGGCGTTCAAGGTGATCGGTATAAAAACAAGCTAAAATTTTCTTTCAAACTTCTGGAACGTTTCCATGATGACGGAGACCATAGAAGCGTTTTTTGCAAAGCACATTTAGCTCCCAAATCAACTTAGTTTTGAAAGACTCAACTTACTCAACTGCACATAAACAAAACTAGAGAAGGGAAACCAAAGAAATTAGAAAACCAATGATTAAGAAAAAAAAGGAAGAAAAAAGAAGAAAAAACCAAGCTAGAAAAAGGGAACAAAATGAAACAAACCTAATTCACCGAAAGGATAAAAATATGGGTATTGGAAGGTGTACGGTCTCATCAGTATGCATATTCTCCATACTGTTCTCTATACATTTCTAAAGGTCCTAACAAAGAGAATGTGTTGAACAATCAAGAGCGTCCCTCGTTCGTTATCAATTATCTTATTCATACGACCTTAATGTGTGATTCAGGGGTAATATTGTAAAAAGAAATTAGAAACAAATGACCCAATTGGTTAACAACGGTGTTAAACACGTAGCTTTTGTCACCTTAGTTTCTTAAAACATCCTGCTTCGCCAAGCTCATGAAAATGTGGCCTCCAATTTAGTTAAAGTTTTCGTTCCGATAGAAAACGAAGTACAACTGTCGTCGAGAGAACTACTGAAAACTAAGCTACTCTAATAACTTTTAACAAAGCGTGCACTGTTGCGGTTTCCTGTTTGTGACAGCTAAACGTAAATTCCTTAAATAGTTCATTGTCTGCTTGAACAGTTTTAAATCGTCGCTCAAAACAGATTGCACGCAATTTACAAATTAAAATAAATTGACGAATTTACCGCACTTTCGTTAGGGTTACCGGCGTAACGACCCATTTGGGATGTTGATAGAACACGAGAAAACTTGGTAAGTCAAGAGCCGGAGGCAGGTGATTTAGTAAACTTTGTGTTCTCCCAACATCCCAAGTGAGTTAGTACGCCAGTAAAACTATAGAAAGTGCGGTCTACTGCTTTTATAAAATATACTTCAATTTTATACGGTTTTATCAGTGCAACAAATGATAGGTTTTTGAACAACAAAGGCACTTGTAGTATGTCAGTTACTATATAGAGTGACGTAAAACATACAAATAATTAGGATAATCAAATGCTAGAGGCATATCCTAAACTTTGATTGAACATTGTAATGTCACATTGTTGTGTAAGTTCATAACTTGTAAATGGTTTAAGTGTCATTCATTTCTACAGACACGTTCAGAGGAATACAGTACACGATGCCAGCGTAAACAATCCTGTGTCTTGAGTACCCAGTGCACAACTACTATACCATTAAATAATGTTAATGGCACGTGTTGGCTCGTGAGGACATCATTTTTACAAACTCTGAAAGAGAAATAAATCAGCTTAAGCGATGTGGTGGAAATAGAGTTTAGACCGGCATAAAATATCTTAAGAGTAAATGTCAGTAAAAATCAAGGAAAATTCAAAAAACGTGGCCACGGTCAAAAAATCGATTGCGCTCATACTTTGTCAGTTTGAAGGCCTAGGTAAGTAACTGAAGGATATGAGGTTAGTTTTTTGAAATATTCCATATAACGGCAGAAAACCACGAAAAACGGTCACCCTACCGGAAGCTCGGATTTCACCTGGCGGAAACTCGAAATTTTACACTTTTCAGCTTCTCGCTACACAGACGTTTACATAGCTGTGAATCTTTCTTAAGTATAATTGAATACATTGATTCTTCCTTAGTCAAACCATGGGAATTATTTTTATCTCTGCTTATTTGTGAGCTGAGACTGAGACCCGATTAAGAAGACACACTTTTCTCATTTACGCGAAGGTGTAAAGTAATCCAAACTCAGCGACGAAAAAAGCTGACCGGTAGTTCTTCAAATCTTCTGATATTATAACCAAAGACAGTTCAGTCATTGATTTTTAGGTCTACGGTTTTAAATCTTTAGGATCTAGTAGCACTTTTGCATGAACGCCGATCAAAATTCGATAAAATTCCAATTGAGCGCCTTTGAAATCTACAACTCTACATAACAAAGCACTATTGAATAAATTAACTCCTCGGCCAAAGTTTGTACATAAAACATAAGGGTTTTGCTTTTTTAGCGGTTTGAAGCGTTTTAAAAATATATATTGATGTTAAATATTGTCTACACAGGTAAAACAAACTATGAAACACCAAAATTACCACGAGCTGAAATTAAATTTGACAGGCTCGCTCCCTAATCTGCGTCACGCACGAGCGACTTAGCTACAATTAGAACAGTAACAAACAGATATTTACATCCGTTGATTTTAAATAAGTCGTATTTTTAAAATATCTTACTCAAAGATGTGCCAGGTTTCCCAGTTAACTTGCTGAAAAAAAAAAAAAAAACCTTAATAGTAATTCTAGCTCAATTAGAATTGATTTTATTTAGTATGAGAAGTTTTGTGCCGTCGAAAACCAATCGGAAGTAACTGTTTCCACGAAAGCAAATATTGCATCGTTCTCTAAATAAACAAATCTACTTAACCATATAACCAGAGTATGTTGTTGGCGAAGTTAATAGACATACATAACAACGACGTCTTGCTCGTTCTTGAATATTGTCGGTGGGATTTGCGGCGCAGACGAACGCACTTGCTAAGTAACTTCCAATGGCTAATTTCTACCCTTACTCAGCTTTCGTCACACTGCTCACGCTGTGTAACAAGGATATAAAACATCGCACGAAGTCCTAAAAAACTCTCCGGACTTGAACCAGAATTGATTTTAGCAAGATTGCGTGTTTTTAAAAGCCAACGAGTTTATTGGAGATGACTACCCGTACCGTCTCATCGTGTCACTTAGGCATAACCTGACACGATGTCGATAGTTTCGACTCCTGATGGCCGAGAGCACTCGGATTTCTTTTTTTCCGAGTACGCCTGTGTCACTTACTGAATAATACATCATTCTCATTTATTCACCAGGCTTAAAAATATTCCATCACATTTATTCCATTGCGCGTATGCCACATCATGACATTCCAATCCTAGCAGTATGCAGGATGTTTGTCCCATGAAGCACTCGGATTTTTTTTCCTATTATGCCTGTGTCACTTACTGAGTAATACATCATGTTCAAAAGTATTAATTTTTGCACCATACAGGAAGTTGTTTCGGGTCACTCAGTAAGAGCTGTGAAAAGTAGCCGCACTGGAATAGGAATATATTTTTTTTTTGCTGGCGTGGGCGTGGAACGGAACGACTTTTCCGATCCTCAAGGTGGAAAAGGAATATGCGACCGCCAAGCAGCGACTATTAAAGGAGACATTGGAAGATATGTAAACGAGGGCAATGATGTGACAACAGCAATTCAGCTCAAAACAGCCATAGAGTCTGGTCCAGGATCTTGTGCTAAGGCTAGTTACGTTACATTCAACCCGTCAAGCACTCGGCACGTCAATTGGGATGGTGTAAGCTTACTCAACAACTTCAAGTATGAGGAGAACGAAATTAATGTGGGTCCTGGAAAGTTGCTACCGTGGTCTCAGTTTGAAGGAGTTTTGCAGGTCCCGGAAACTCTTGAAGTGGTTGATCCCCCATCGCAGAAATTGAGTACTAAGCCATCTTTCAAGAAGGTGAGACACAGACATTGTGAACATTTCTCAGGTGCTCTTTCCTTATACACACTAAGCATCTTTCTGCATTTTACGCAAATTCCTTTAGAAAAAACATAGTCAAACTCCCGTCAAAACTCCGAAATTACTGAAAGGCGCGTATTTTTTAACACAAAAGTCTGAAGTTTTGTCGACCCACAGAATAAAATAACAATCGAACGTTGACTGCGCGATAAGAGGTGAGAAGAAGGGGGGGGGGGAGTAGCATTGTGATTAGACTATCCTTTTTTTTTGTTTATTGTTTATGTCTTTCTCGAGTGGCTTTTTGCGAAACGAAATTGAAATGTTTTAAACAAAGTAAATTAACCCCTACTAACCGAATTCCAGGTGCGTACTGTAAGTTACACCTACAGTACAAACTATTTTCAACGACTGACTCTGGAAAGCTGGTTCACTAACTTAGAACAGACGCCTCTCAACAGATGTCAACAATTACCAGCACCTTACAAACGACTCATTAACGACGTGAAAGAACCGACAAACAGACCGACAAACAACAGACGGATCGAAACCGACCAATGACTGTTAACAAACTCTACACGAGTCTTCCAGCCAATCACATCACGGCTAAACAGACCAATCACGTTCAACAGACCAGACTTTATAACATCATCGACTGACAACTACTCCTCACTTGACTCTGAAGATGACTATCGCACAGATAGTCGAAACGTCAGTCACCAACAACAGTTCTTTTCAGAACTACACTCACCCGGACGATCACACTACACGAATTACTTATTTCTCTCCGTCGTTTAAACAAATGATTCTTTCATATAATCTCAAGTCATCAGAATGAATAGACTAAAAATAATTCATTGGAGACAGTTTCTGTTTGGTAGAACATCAAGTAGTTGGTTGCTTAACTGAGCCCACAGGGACGAGCTGTTTTGAAAGCTCAAATATCTTCATGGATTGGAATAAATTTATTCCTTTTTCCAGTGCGGGTGCCTTCCTCAGCTCCTTGCAGTGACCAGAAACAACTTCCGGGATGGTGCAAAGATTACCCGTCCTTCGCCTACCTAAACCTAACTTGGCACGATGAACCGGACAGATAGTCATATCCGATAAATTCGCCGGCTTTTGAAAACATCCACATCTTGCCAAAATTAATTCTACCTCCGTTTCAATTCCGGAAAATTTCAACGACTTTTTGTTAGTTTTGATATCCCTGTTACACCGCGTAAGAGGCGTGACGGAAGTTAAAGAACTTGTGCGTTCGTCTGCGCCGCAAATCCCACCAACAATATTCAAGAACGAGCAAGACATCGCTGTTCTATGAAGTTCCCCGACAATAAACTCTGGTTTTAGATGCAATGTTTCACAGATAAAGATAATTCGACTTATTTATTTAAAGAACGATGCAATTTTCGTGAGAACAGGTACTTCTGATTGGCTATCGACGGCATAAAGCTTCTCATTCTTAATAAAATCAATTCTTATCGTTTCAGTTTGAATTGCTATTATGATATTTTCTTTTATTTTTACTTCAGCAAGTTAACTGGGGAACCTGGCACATCGTTGAGTAAGATATTTTAAAATAAGACTTATTGTAAATTAACAGAAGTAGATATCTGTTTGTTACTGTACTAATTGTAGCGAAGTCGCTCGTGCGTGACGCAGATTAGGGAGCGAGCCTGTCAAATTTAATTTCAGCTCGTGGTAATTTTGGTGTTTCATAGTTTTTTTTACCTGTGTAGACAATATTTAACATCAATATATATTTTTAAAAGGTTCAAACCGCTAAAAAAGTAAAACCCTCATGTTTTATGTACAAACTTTGGCCGAGGAGTTAATTTATTCAATAGTGCATTGTTATGTAGAGTTGTAGATTTCAAAGGCGCTCAATTGGAATTTTATCGAATTTTGATCGGCGTTCATGCAAAAGTGCTACTAGATCCTAAAGATTTAAAACCGTAGACCTAAAAATCAATGACTGAACTGTCTTTGGTTATAATATCAGAAGATTTGAAGAACTACCGGTCAGCTTTTTTTTCGTCGCTGAGTTTGGATTACTTTACACCTTCGCGTAAATGAGAAAAGTGTGTCTTCTTAATCGGGTCTCAGTTCGCTCACAAATAAGCAGAGATAAAAATAATTCCCATGGTTTGACTAAGGAAGAATCAATGTATTCAATTATACTTAAGAAAGATTCACAGCTATGTAAACGTCTGTGTAGCGAGAAGCTGAAAAGTGTAAAATTTCGAGTTTCCGCCAGGTGAAATCCGAGCTTCCGGTAGGGTGACCGTTTTTCGTGGTTTTCTGCCGTTATATGGAATATTTCAAAAAACTAACCTCATATCCTTCAGTTACTTACCTAGGCCTTCAAACTGACAAAGTATGAGCGAAATCGATTTTTTGACCGTGGCCACGATTTCTTTGATTTTTACTGACAATCACTCTTAATTATTTGGGAAATGGGGTGTTAGAAAATATTGCAGCTTTTTAGTCTAGTCTCGAAGCGCCCAGTTTAGTACTGGGCATGCTTGTTTCTTTTTTATTCCTAAGAATTTCCACTTGGAATTGGTCACGACAAAAGGGTCTTACTCTGACAAGCGGCCTTAAAACCGTCTGCAATTAAATTTAATCGTACACAAAAGGTACATAGAAAAAACCACCTTCACTAGCTGTCAGCTACACCCTTAGACAAAAATATATCGCTCCTCATCACACAAGTATTACGTATTCACATTTTTCAAAGTCTATTGTACCTAAGAGTCTGAGCCAGTGATATTTGGAGAGATATAGGTCAGTGTACTCATTGTTAGCCAGTTGTCATCTGATGCTAATTGTTTATCAGTATAACGGTTTGCAGCCAATGCTTCTCGACTTAAGTCTAGCAAATAAGAAGACGCTGATTATTACCAACGAGCCCGCAATATGTGACATGAATACTGGTCAGAGGATTTTTTGGTGCAACAGCTGTCACTTCAAGATCTCAATATGGATGTCCGCTATAACAACAATGCACTGGCGGAGTTATACGATTGCATTGGAGGCTTATTTTATTTAGGACTAAATGTTATTACGTTTAGAACCAAATGTTATTACATTTAGGACTTTATTACATTTAGGACCAAATGTTATTACATTTAGGACTTTATTACATTTAGGACAGTTATTACATTTAGGCCTTCAACAGCTACACCCTTAGACAAAAATATATATCGTAAGAGCCTAAACTATTTTACAAAATTTTATATTTTTCATTTATACTGATTCGACATTTTATTTACAAACGTAACATATACAAATTTTTATACAACTTTCTTCAAACAATTGGTAGTTCTTTTCAATGTTTGATATTCAAAATCAATTTTCGGCAATCGAATAAGTTGACATATTTATCCGATTAAATTTTTACTTTATAATAATAGATAGCATGAATTGGACACACTTAGCTTCAAGAGCAAGCGTAATTTAGTTGGCGGGCGAGTGCTTACTATTATCTCGGCGAAAATTTGATTTACAGCGGCGGAAAGCTGGCGAGAGAAAGAAATTTGTACCGAGGGGGTGAGAGACGGTCAACTCTGACTCTAAAGCAAACATGGCTGGTTTGAAAATGATCGCGAGCTTCTTAATGTTAACTTTCACTAATAAGACGCCTGCATTACATACTAGAACGGACTATCTTGGGTAATCTTTCAGATCCTTTCATTTATTCATTCTTATAATCAATTCAAAATTCCCTTTCAAAAACCTTCAATGTAAAAGAAAGAACTAATTCTACTCAGGCTTAATTCAGTTTTTAAATTCAAACATGGCTAGCGCAGCCAGTTTGAGTCTTCAGATGATGGACAGTCAGGTAAATAATTAGAAATGAAAGCGCCACCTTGTATGAAAAGGAAAATTATAATCCCAAACTATGTGTTTACATTTGAATGCATCACAGCTTGAAGAATATTTGACAAAACAGTACATTGTTCGACTCGAAGTCTGCTAGTCATGAAACCTTTGTCATAGCGAAGTTTATATTTAGAGGCAGTCATGAATTCGTTGTGTCACAGCGGGGTCAAATTGCGGGTACTCTTTCAAGATACCTTTGTCTCATTTGTTTCCGAGAATTACTTCACGGCACTCGACCTGTGATGGTCGAGACTTTGAAGCTTCGTTTGCCGTTAAATGATATCTGATTCTTGCCTCCCCTAGCCGGCTTAACTGGCGATTTTGGCAATATGCAAAAATGACTATTTGCGTCCCAAGCCTCTCGCAGCCTTGCCACCTAACGTTCAAAGCTCACACAACCGCGAGTTACGTGTACACAGGCATTCGCAGGCATGTCTCCAACTCAACAAGCAGTGCTGCTGAGGTAATATACCATCGACAACAAAACTGTTGATTGCCAAGGATGCTTTCACTGATGAAGGGTGTTTGTCGGCTTACCTAGTCAAGCAATTTTGATAATTTTTTTTTCTTCTCAGTAATGCAAGCGTGAATGTTTGGCCATTCTCAGACTTTTGATGATAAATAGCATGCTTTGTTTCCTCCCAAAATGAATACACCAATGAAATTCAATCGGCTGTCAATGACTTTTTGTTTTTAATGTCTAAAAGAACCAATGAGCATCGTCGTTTATACGCATGACCAATTAGACATATATACGATTGAGATCGGAAAATTTTCTAGAAGAGCAGATGACTCGATTTATATCTTCATCTATATCGAAGAGCAGCCGACAGACAGTAATTCTGAGCAAAGTTAGTCGAGCAGAGTGCCCTGTTTCAAGAAAACTACTCAGAGGAAACACATTCTGTGTATTGAGGTCAAGTAGAGAATAATTGTTAGCGGGTATGTCTTTCTAGTATGTTCTAGGCCTTATATTCCTAGCTTCAATAACTACTTATTGCGAATAGGTCAAAATTTCTTTGTCACTCAATCGCCGAAGGGAGCATGAGCACAGGCAACAAAATTTTGTTATAATTAATGTCTGAGAATATTCTTTCTAGGAAATAACGCAGCCACATGGTAGTCGAAGTGCTGTAGAGCTGCCTCGACTATCTCATTGTTGGACTAAAATGAAGGAATACCTAGAAAGGTTCTCGCTATTTCCGCTGCATAGGCTAAGATGCTTATAATATCACGGGATATATTTCCAGTGCAGTGTTCTAAGGAAGATTTTGCTTTTACCCATTGCTTGCGCATTTGAAGTAATCTAGGCGGGTTTGCGTGTATAGTATGTGACTGCTAGCAGCAGTTCAACAAGCGTGCCATTGTCTTGTGATAATGAGAGACCCACCAGGAGAGCAAGTTGTTTTTCTAGGAAAATAGAGTTCTCATGAGCTAACATCAAGTCTACAATTCATATTATGGTGGGCTTGAGTGAGACATGTCGAAATCTGTCGAGAAATTGACATTATGACTAATCTATTGAGCCGAAGAAAAATTTTGTTTAAGCCCGGATAAAGTCCACTGCAGTTTACCAGAGGCTTTTGAGATCTTTAGAATAGTAATGTTCAGTTATAATAACGATATAATCGTAAATGTTCGAAATTTTTCTACCGTATCGTTTTAGTAGCTGTATAGTACATGGGCTGAGTGAGATTTTCTAGGATACAGACTCACAGTAAATTCAGGAACCAGCACATTCACTCCGAAAGAAATGCTAAGGTCAGTTTACTCATTCAAGCTATCGAGTTGAACATTCGAAGAGAAATTGTACATCTTGGCGTGCTCGCATGTTTTATTCTCTATTGAACTCGCGATCGATACCATTTCATTCGATAAAGTTGACAACATTTAAACTTTCGGTGGAGTTATTCAGAGGAGAGATGACCAGTGTCAAGAACATGCTGAGCCTATATAACGGATATAACGTGCGCTGCCATCGGTTGAAAGAGTTTCTTCCATCAGAGTACAAAGCACGGTGCGGAACCATAAGTTGTCGCGCCAAGTGCCAATTTGTACAATGTCCAACTTCTCTTTAGCCTTTTTTTTTCGTCAATTGAAAGTCAAATTATTGAACAAGCGAGCGGGCAAGTGGCAACAGAAGAACTAAACAAAGGTTTGAAAACATGTCAAGCGCCGTAATTCATGAAATTTTAATGCCTTGAGGTGAGCAAAGACGAATATCACCAAAGAGAAAACTAAATGGACTTTCCGACTTATGAAGGTTTTTACGCTCAGACAGATTGTCACTTCAGTAGATGCAGTAATAAAGCTTGCACACAGCGAACACTGTAAGGTATATATGTAGTTTCGTGTCCAAAAAATAAAACAGAGCAAAACAGGAATTGATGATAAAAATCAAGGTGTCGGAGAAATTGCGATCCTAGCTCATCAGGGCGATCTCCGGTCATCGCAATGATGATGTATTGAGTGGAAGGTCGCAACAGCCGAGTTTTAGGGACGCTTCCACCCCGAGCAATCTTCATGTTCCTGTGAATTCGGCTGTCGATCATTCATAAAACACACCTCTTGAGCAGTTTGTTTTCCAAGTTTCACGTTAAAAAACTTGCGTGTTTTCACGAGCCACAAATTGGCCGAATTTATCCGAACATTTCACTTTCAGATTCTTTATTTAGACTTACAAACTTCAAGCGAAAAAATTAAATTCGAGCTGTCGAATTATTTGGGTTTGTGAACCATCAATACCACAAATGCATTGATTAAAAATTTCACTTCAACTTCAACTTCATTGAGATATTTATACCGAGATGTAATTTATATATATATATATATATGTGAAGTTTGTCTTTTGATTTTTCCGTAGCACAGTGCTCGATACGTAGAAGTAAAGCGCGATGTATAGGGAGATAAGGAAAAAACAGAGACTATATAGTTTAATCCCTACAAGCCTGTTTCGTGATTACTTATTCATCAGGGGATTTTATTGTTAAGAATATTCGTAACCATCGTTTATATACTTTACAAATTTGCATAATGGGCGTGGCAGTAAATTTCAATGCTTTGTATAATTGTACGCAGTAACGCTTTGTTTCTGTGCCGGCATGAGGACACGAATTCATTACGTTTATTGAGTGATGATAGTTCAGGTTGGCGGATGATAAATAATTTTCTTTCAGGCAGGGGTTGCATCTTATGATTGCGCTGTTGTAGGGTGATCTTAATGCAAGCATGCGCCATGACATAAGGTGGTCATGAATATTCTTAACAAAAAAAAACCCCTGATGAGTGAATAATCACGAAACAGGCTTGTAGAGATAAAAGCATAGTCTCTCTGTTTTTCCCTATCTAAATATATATATATATATATATATATATATATATATAAATATATATAAATATATATATAAAGTTCTGTCTGATGAGCGCTTAGGCGTAAAACTCAGACTCACAGAGAATCGATGCGTCCTCTTTAATTCTTTAACGATGTCTCAAGTTTCTTAAAAAGCACGATGTCCCAGAAGTCGTAAAATGCACGATGTCCCAGAAGTTTTAAAATCCACGATGTCTCAAAGGTCTTAAAAAGCACGAGGTCTCAAATGTATTATAAAGCACGAGGTCTCATATGTCTTATAAAGCACGAGGTCTCAAATGTATTATAAAGCACGATGTCTCATATGTCTTATAAAGCACGAGGTCTCAAATGTCTTATAAAGCACGATGTCTCATATGTATTATAAAGCACGAGGTGTCATATGTCTTATAAAGCACGATGTCTCATATGTATTATAAAGCACGAGGTCTCAAATGTATTATAAAGCACGAGGTCTCATATGTCTTATAAAGCACGAGGTCTCAAATGTATTATAAAGCACGATGTCTTATATGTCTTATGAAGCACGATGTCTTAAATGTATTATAAAGCACGATGTCTCATATGTCTTATAAAGCACGAGGTCTCAAATGTCTTATAAAGCACGATGTCTCATATGTATTATAAAGCACGAGGTGTCATATGTCTTATAAAGCACGAGGTCTCAAATGTATTATAAAGCACGAGGTCTCAAATGTATTATAAAGCACGATGTCTTATATGTCTTATAAAGCACGATGTCTCAAATGTATTATAAAGCACGATGTCCCAGAAGTTTTAAAATCCACGATGTCTCAAAGGTCTTAAAAAGCACGAGGTCTCAAATGTATTATAAAGCACGAGGTCTCATATGTCTTATAAAGCACGAGGTCTCAAATGTATTATAAAGCACGATGTCTTATATGTCTTATAAAGCACGATGTCTCAAATGTATTATAAAGCACGATGTCTCATATGTCTTATAAAGCACGAGGTCTCAAATGTCTTATAAAGCACGATGTCTCTTATATATTATAAAGCACGAGGTGTCATATGTCTTAAAAAGCACGAGGTCTCAAATGTATTATAAAGCACGAGGTCTCATATGTCTTATAAAGCACGAGGTCTCAAATGTATTATAAAGCACGATGTCTTATATGTCTTATAAAGCACGATGTCTCAAATGTATTATAAAGCACGATGTCTCATATGTCTTATAAAGCACGAGGTCTCAAATGTCTTATAAAGCACGATGTCTCATATATATTATAAAGCACGAGGTGTCATATGTCTTATAAAGCACGAGGTCTCAAATGTATTATAAAGCACGAGGTCTCAAATGTATTATAAAGCACGAGGTCTCATATGTCTTATAAAGCACGAGGTCTCAAATGTATTATAAAGCACGATGTCTTATATGTCTTATAAAGCACGATGTCTCAAATGTATTATAAAGCACGATGTCACATATGTCTTATAAAGCACGAGGTCTCAAATGTCTTATAAAGCACGATGTCTCATATGTATTATAAAGCACGAGGTGTCATATGTCTTATAAAGCACGAGGTCTCAAATGTATTATAAAGCACGAGGTCTCAAATGTATTATAAAGCACGATGTCTTATATGTCTTATAAAGCACGATGTCTCAAATGTCTTTTAAAGCACGATGTCTCAAATGTATTATAAAGCACGATGTCACATATGTCTTATAAAGCACGAGGTCTCAAATGTCTTATAAAGCACGATGTCTCATATGTATTATAAAGCACGAGGTGTCATATGTCTTATAAAGCACGAGGTCTCAAATGTATTATAAAGCACGAGGTCTCAAATGTATTATAAAGCACGATGTCTTATATGTCTTATAAAGCACGATGTCTCAAATGTCTTTTAAAGCACGATGTCTCATATGTCTTATAAAGCACGAGGTCTCAAATGTATTATAAAGCACGATGTCTTATATGTCTTATAAAGCACGCTTTCTCAAATGTCTTATAACTAACACTGAACAGGCTCGTTTTACGAGTACTCAATTTGAAAATTTTACAAACACTTTAACGGGTGCATTTTACGAACACGTAGCAGTCGTAGTTTAAGCACATTTAAAAGTCGCATTTTACGAACATTTCACGGTTGCAGTTTACGAACATTTAGCGGGCGTATTTTACGAAATTTAGTCGCATTTTACAAACATTTAACGGTCGCATTTTACGAACATTTTAGTCGCATTTTACGAACATTTAACAGTCGCATTTTACGAACATTTAACAGTCGCATTTTACGAACATTCAACGGGTGCTTTTTACAAACTTTAAGGTCGTACATTTTAAAAACATTTATTACATAAGGCCATTCATTTGACCTTAATTACGTAAGGGCTGTTTACTGGTACTGTTTTATATAAGCCGTTTTGTCGTTAATTTAAATGGCTCTGTTACTTAGCGCCTTCGGCCCAGATACTGATATTGATCCCGAACATTTAAGAGTCGCATTTTACGAACATTTAACAGTCGCATTTTACGAACATTTAGTCGCATTTTACGAACATTTAACGTATTTTTACGAACATTTAAGAGTCGCATTTTACTAACATTTAACAGTCGCATTTTACGAACATTTAGTCGCATTTCACGAACATTTAGTCGCATTTTACGAACATTTAACGTATTTTTACGAACATTTAAGAGTCGCATTTTACGAACATTTAACAGTCGCATTTTACGAACATTTAGTCGCATTTTACGAACATTTAACGTATTTTTACGAATATTTAAGAGTCGCATTTTACTAACATTTAACGGTCGCATTTTACGAACATTTAGTCGCATTTTACGAGCATTTAACGTATTTTCACGAACATTTACACATTTAACAGTCGCATTTTACGAGCATTTAACAGTCGCATTTTACGAACATTTAACAGCCGCATTTTACGAACATTTAACAGTCGCATTTTACGAACATTTAACAGTCGCATTTTACGAACATTCAACGGGTGCTTTTTACAAACTTTAAGGTCGTACATTTTAAAAACATTTATTACATAAGGCCATTCATTTGACCTTAATTACATAAGGGTTGTTTACTGGTACTGTTTTATATAAGCCGTTTTGTCGTTAATTTAAATGGCTCTGTTACTTAGCGCCTTCGGCCCAGATACTGATATTGATCCAACTTATGTATACTTAGCTCTGTTACCACAGCCTTGAGCACTTTATGCCAAGATAGACTCTACCCCCACATTTATTTAAATATATATATATATATACATACATACATATATATATATATATATATATATATATACATATACATATACATACATACATACATACATATATCTATATACATATATTTACATATTTATATATACATATATATACATATATACACATAAATAATAAACATTGTTACTAGAACTCTCAGGCCAACAAAGGTGCACCGCGCCAGGAGGATCAATAAAGATTGATCAATAAAGATTGATCACGCTCACGTGATTTTGTTTCTTAGTCATTAGTTGTCACCTGTAATTACGTAATCACTAGCACTTCGATCTTATATAAAGCTCTTTTTTATTCGAATTTTGTAAGAAAACAACATGTATGCACATTGCAATGACATAAAGCATAAAGGAAAAAAATATTGAAATTAGATCTCTCAGAGAAAAAATATGAAAGTTACATAAATTTTCATATCATATGAGTGTCAAGGGAAACAAAGACAAACAATGACAGACAGAAAAATGATGAATAAACAAGGTTCAGAAGTATCTTCAGTCACAGTAACAAAAATTGCACCACCTCTGCATGATAAATTTTTTAAATCCGAGCTTATGCAAGAGAAAATGTTCCATTATTTTCTTTTGGCTCATGAAAAAGTGAACAAGGTTTGCAGAGTTTTCCCGTTCTTGGGACAGCCAGGAACTAGTTATTGACTCAGGGAAAACTTAAAAAAAATTGAAATTCAGGGGATTATACAAGGCTGTCGGCCAGTTGTGATTGAAGAGATTGATCGTCTTCTTTCAACATGGAATGGCATTTTGAGCGTCTACTCTTCTATTTTGCTACTGTTTATTCGGCATTTTTTCGGTTTTATAATCAAGACCCTAACGGAAATGATAGTGACGTAAAGCGAGGCAAGAAGTAGGTATATTATGACAGTCAAGTGAGTTTTGGATCAAGTAACGTTAGTTCGACTATGTAGTGAGATAGCTACCTGAGTGCTGAAAATGGGATGTTTTTGCGCAAAATCTTACTGATATTTCTAATGTTATTCATATTCTCAGTGAAAATAAACAACTCTTCCTGTGCTCCTTTAAAGCAAAACATCAACGTTTCGACGTACAAAACCATGGAGAGTCCTCTGACATCAACATTTGCTAGTTCTACCGAAAAGAAGAATGGTGAGAAGTTATGGAGTCTTGTTACTAATGAGGGAGCAGCAGCATTAAGGATCCTCCTGAGTAAATCTCACTCCCCACAACCATTAGATACTTGGCTCGGTCAACATAAACGAACACTCTCAAGTCTCAAACGTAGGGTACTTCATGATGATCAGTGGCAAAAGCTCTTTCCGTCTGATGGAACGCAACCAAATTGTGGGTCATTTGACATAACACTGCTTGTGATCCTTTTAACCAACATTTGTGGTTTGTCACCTCCGAACACCGGATGGAACAACGAGCCTCCTCAGAGCGACAAGTCCACAGAAGCAAATATTGTTCGCATCAGGGATTATCGAAATCTGGTCAGTCATTTTCCATCAACTGGAGTTCCCACGCAAAAGTTCAACACCTACTGGGAGGAAATTGCTGATGTTTTGGTTGCCCTCGGAATAGATCGGAATGAAATAGATGCCTTAAAGAAAGAGGAAGAGTTAGAGAAACTGGCACGTTTTGATTTTACAGGAGACATAAACCATTACCTTGCTAAATTTCAAGACGGAACGCGAGAGTGGATCTTCAATGAGGTCAAAAATTGGTTAGATGACAGGGGGTCGCCGCACCTTGCAATGCTGATCACTGCAGTTGCCGGAATGGGAAAGTCCGTCGCCAGTGCAGTCATTTGCAAGAGAATGCAAAAGGAAGACAGGCTAATAGGGTGTCATTTTTGTCAACACAGCTGCGACTTCTACCGTGATCCGAAACGAATGCTTCAATCACTGGCCTACCAGTTAAGCTCAAAATTGCCAGAATACAAAGCAGCCCTCGTAAAGCAGCTCTCCAGTGACCGCAGCAAAGAGCTAGAAGACATGAGAGTGGAAGATCTCTTTGTGTGGCTGTTTAAAGAACCCCTTTCCGCCGTGGCAGACCCTGGAAGAAACTTCCTCGTGATAATAGATGCCCTGGACGAAAGTGAACTCGATGGACGCAATGAGTTATTTGATGTCATCGCCAATCACTTTTCCAAATTGCCGCTTTGGATAAGATTTCTTATTACCGCAAGACCAGAGAAAAACATTTCAGACAAATTAAGAAATCTGAAGATTTTCAAGTTGCAACAGGAGGATGAGCGGAATCGTGATGATATCAAAACTTTCTTTGAAAAGAAACTAAATTCTGTTGTAACAAACCCAGACAGCCTCAGCGCAATTGTACAAGAGTTGGTCCATCTCTCGGATGGCTCGATGCTCTTCGCATACTTTTTAATACAAATGATCCAAGACGGCACATCACCAGTAAGTCCAGAGGAACTTCGTCGACAATTCCCAAATGGCATTTCCTCAGTCTACCGGTCCTATTTTGAGCGAATGGAGAAAAGACTGAAGGAAGAATTGAAGGATAACTATGGCAGTTTTCTGACTGATTTTCTGAGTGCTTTGACTGTTTCTGTAGAACCTTTGCACAAAGATTTCATCGTAGACATACTGTTGCAAAACCGTAACACTTCAGAAAGTGATTCCTTGAGCGATCAGCGAAAACTTGAGGGTGTTATTAGCTGCATTTCTTCTCTTTTCATTCTTCGAGACGACCATGTTCACATGTTCCACAAATCCATCAAGGATTGGTTGACAGACCCGTCCAATGGATTTTTCTTCGTAGAGGAGAAGAAAGGTCACAAGATTCTGTCTGAGTTGTGCGCTAAAGCACTTGAAATTTTGAAGGGACGTCGTGGACCGTCGACTAAAGCAAAGAAGAAATACGCCTTGCGACACGGTGTCAAGCACATGCTGGAAGCATGTGAGACTGAAAGTGCTCAAATGGAAGAATTAGTTCATGGGTACGTGACAGATCTTGAACTCGTTTATGCCAAGCTAAGTACAGAGGACGCGGATGTGCTTAAGGATCTTGTTCTTGTGCAAGAACATCCGAACTCAAGGGCTTTAAGCAAAGAAATCCACAATACGATTGAAAGCCTTTTAATACAATTCAAGAAAAACCCTAAGCTGCTTCGAGATAATCCTGAGATGATTTTCCAAAACTTACTCAATGAAGGAGGATCAGCACTTTATCAACAGGTGTCTGATACTCTTTTGAGGTCTCATCCAGAAATACCATATATGGAGCTGTTAGACAAAAATGGTCATCGAGGCCCTGTTGTTGGTCGATTTTTCTGCTCTGACAAAGTGGTTTGCTTTGATATTTCCCCAGACGAACAACTCTTGGTAAGCGAATGTCGTGATGGAACGACGTCGTTATGGTCACTTGAGACTGGAAAGCAGCTATGGGAAAAAGCTTTATTGAAATCGATAAAGTCGTACAGTGAAGTTCCTCTTGGAAGTGCTTTTCGACAGACGTGCGAAGACAATGAAACTGGGAAAAGGACTTTGTCGTTTTACCGTTCCACTGTCTTCCATCCAGACGGTTGTTCCATTTTGCCAGGAAACTTGGCCAAAGTTTACAGTTTAGATGGAGAACCGAAGTCACTCTTTCCAGGGAGCAAATGTCATTTCAATGTTTGCCATTTCTCACGTAACAAAACTAGGATGTTAACTGATTGTCCAGAAAACGCCCATCAAGTGGTCATGTGGAACACCAAGAATGGTGAGGAGATCAAACGCTTCGAGAGCCAAGAAACCATAGCTTCTTTTGCTATTTCTCAAGATGGAAGTCGTGTTGCGCTCTGTAATACAAGTGGCTCACTCTGGTTACAAGCTGTTGAAGATCCCAGTTGGAAGAAAGCACCTCCAAACATTTTTGGTGAAGGTAACCCCTGTGGACTGTTACATTTTACAGATGCGGGAGTTCTTGTCGGTGGTAGTATCCAACATGAGCTGTCTGATCACCGAGACAAGTACAGACTTTCGGTGCCAGCGCTTCAGTTACAATCATCTTGTGTCTTGTGGCCGTGGGAATCGGTTGATTCTGTTGATAGATTGAAAGTCGTTTGCAAGACATTCCATTTGGTTTCTGCAGACTTAATGATGGGATTTTGCTTCATGTTACTAAAAGATTTGGCAGTGGTCGGGAGTCCAACGGTTAATTACTTGACGATGCTTGATATTACTCGTCCCCTACAAGACGAAGAAATGTCACGGACAGCACAAACTGCGTTTTCTGCAGTCAACGGTAGCACGCGCTTGTACACAACTATCGCCATTTGCAACCATTCGGCAGAAATGGAAACGGATGAGTCACGCTTGGTGACATTTACTATGCGGGACGCAAACAATGCCAGGGAAGTGAAGCAGGAAAAGTTCTTCCAACACAGTTCACGTCGTGTCCAGAATGGGGTCCTGACTGTAACTATTACATACAATGGTGAGACAGGTGTTCTCTTGCAAACAGACAGCAAGACATTAGAAGTATGGAACAGTGACTTGTCTCAAGGTCTTAACTCTATTACCATGATGGGCAAAATCGAAAGACTAATTCCTGTATCGCAAGATCTTGTTGGATGCGTTTTATACACGCCTAAATTTTCATCTGAAGGACAACACGAACTTACAATCGCCTTGTTTGATATCTCCGCGTGGAAAGTTGTATTTGAAAGAAAGTTGAGTGGTAAACCAGAACTAAAATCGATTGCGTGCAATCTTCAAAGAGGTGTGGTGTTCTGTGCTGAAAACGACGCAAGAAAGCGCGAAATGTTCTTTTACAGAGGTGAGGCAAATGTTCCCATTTGGAAAGAAGACGACATTTACCAGGGCGGTTGCAACTGGAGACACCCACACTGCGTATTTTCTCCTCAGGGAGATATACTCGTCACATGGAATACTCTGAATGACGGCTATGGATTGCACGCTCTCAGTGCGAAGACTGGAATGAGGAAGCACGTCTTTCTGGAAAACTGTCACGACATCGCCGACAGCAAGTTCCTCAACGATGGCGAGACTATGGTCTGCTACAGAAACGAGTCCAACGTACGACTTTTCAGTGTTACGTCCGGCGAAGTACTAGCTGTCTTGGACATAGGAGAGCGCCCGACCTGTATAGGATGTTCTCCTGGTGAACCTCGTATTGCTGTTGGCCTACGTTTTGGAAACGTAATAGTGATTCGAGCGCATGTGCCAAAACTACGGAGAGCCAACCACAAACAGAGGAAGGGTGAGTTAGTGTCTCTATGATAAGTGTCAATGGGTTACAATGTAGATGGTACCTGGTTCGCTGATTGATTCATCTGGGTGATTTTTCACTTTCGTGTTGAAAAAAATTGATTTTGTCTTACCTTATTCATGATAAGTACCTGGTCCCGCAAATTTGAGCCTCCTTCGCCGTCAATTATTTTCGAAAGTTAAACCAAGACCAACCGGGTCACTCGCCAATTTAATTTACCATGTGTTTCGTCTTATTTGAGTCATCGTGAACTTCTTAGGTTGTCCATCTTTATTTCATTGTTACTGGCTGTTTTGGTCTCTTTGGTTTTGATTTAACGACTCGTAAGAGAGAAGCACTCTTTAAACTTGCTTTGTGTAGGTAAGCATGTATGTCTCACGAACATACCGTTCATTTCCTTACGATCAAAAGAAATACTGAAGGGTCCTTGATCACCTGGTTCGTTGAGGTCATGTCTAGGGACTGGATCAGTTATGTCTGCATTCAAATCTGTTGGACCTAAGCCCTACCGTTTCTCATGATGCCAAAGTTAGCCTTGTTACAGAAATCATCATTATGTACATTCATAATTGCAGGATTTTTTTTTTGCAGGACCTGGTGAGAGTCCAATTAGCGGAGATTCGCAAGTCAAAGGGAGTAAGTGTCTGTAGGAAGCCGCGGAAAGGTGCTAGCTCAAAAATGAAATAATAATTATGAACACTATTTTAAAACTCCATTAAGTGACTGTTCATGAGAACTGACTAAGTCAGAATTGATTGATAAAAAATAACCGTTAGAAGGACCTCAATAGGGATCCCAGAGAGCCAAGATGACAAAACTGGGGAAAACGTCGATGAAAAAATGTTTTAAGTTTTTCGTTAGGACTTTTTCGTTAGAAAGTGGAGAAGTTGAAGTTCAATTCTCAGTATACATACCAGGCGTTCAAGGTGATCGGCATAAAAACAAGCCAAAATTTTCTTTCAAACTACTGGAACGTTTCCATGATGACGGAGACCGTAGAGGCGTTTTTTACAAAGCACATTTAGCTCCCAAATCAACTTAGTTTTGAAATACTCAACTAAGTCAACTGCACATGAACAAAACTAGATAAGGGAAACCAAAGAAATTAGAAAACCAATGATTAAGAAAAAAAAAGAAAGAAAAAAGAAGAAAAAATCCTAGCTAGAAAAAGGGAACAAAATGAAACAAACCTAATTCACTGAAATGCTAAAAATATGGGTATTGGAAGGTGTACGCTCTCATCAGTATGCATATTCTCCGTACTGTTCTCTATACATTTCTAAAGGTTCTGACAAAGAGAATGTGTTGAACAATCAAGAGCGTCCCTCGTTCGTTATCTTATTCATACGCCCTTAATGTGTGATTCAGGGGTGATATTGTAAAAAGAAATTAGAAACAAATGACCCAATTGGTTAACAACGGTGTTAAACACGTAGCTTTTGTCACCTTAGTTTCTTAAAACATCCTGCTTCGCCAAGCTCATGAAAATGTGGCCTCCAATTTAGTTAAAGTTTTCGTTCCGATAGAAAACGAAGAATCCAAACCGAAAAATAACTCGCAATCGTATAATAGCAATTTTATTCGATCTGAAATCAAATTAATAAGATTCTGCTTACTAAATGCAATCTCATAATTAATAGATGGAACTAGAAAAGTCAAATAAATGTCCGTGAGAGCCAAGAATGGATGTAAGCGAACCCAGATGGTTCTTAAAACAAGCCTAAATACAAATGCTTTAACCCCCATTAGGTAAGCAAGACATCTAATCCTAACTTGACAGTTTAATACACAATTTTCGTTTCACTTTCTTCTACGGCGAGTTTTCTTAAATGTCCTTGAATACAGCATGTATAAATCCGGGCAACAGGTAAGCGGTAAAAACTCTGATCATTTCAGTACAACTGTCGTCGAGAGAACTACTGAAAACTAAGCTACTCCAATAACTTTTAACAAAGCGTGCACTGTTGCGGTTTCCTGTTTGTGACAGCTAAACGTAAATTCCTTAAATAGTTCATTGTCTGCTTGAACAGTTTTAAATCGTCGCTCAAAACAGATTGCACGCAATTTACAAATTAAAATAAATTGACGAATTTACCGCACTTTCGTTAGGGTTACCGGCGTAACGACCCATTTGGGATGTTGGTAGAACACGAGAAAACTTGGTAAATCAAGAGCCGGAGGCAAGTGATTTAGTAAACTTTGTGTTCTCCCAACATCCCAAGTGAGTTAGTACGCCAGTAAAACTATAGAAAGTGCGGTCTACTGCTTTTATAAAATATACTTCAATTTTCTACGGTTTTATCAGTGCAACAAATGATAGGTTTTTGAACAACAAAGGCACTTGTAGTATGTCATTTACTATATAGAGTGACGTAAAATATACAAATAATTAGGATAATCAAATGCTAGAGGCATATCCTAGACTTTGATTGAACATTGTAATGTCACACTGTTGTGTAAGTTCATAACTTGTAAATGGTTTAAGTGTCATTCATTTCTACAGACACGTTCAGAGGAATACAGTACACGATGCCAGCGTAAACAATCCTGTGTCTTGAGTGCTCAGTGCACAACTACTATACCATTAAATAATGTTAATGACACGTGTTGGCTCGTGAGGACATCATTTTTACAAACTCTGAAAGAGAAATAAATCAGCTTAAGCGATGTGGTGGAAATAGAGTTTAGACCGGCATAAAATATCTTAATTATTTGGGAAATGGGGTGTTAGAAAATATTGCAGCTTTTTAGTGTAGTCTCGAAGCGCCCAGTTTAGTACTGGGCATGCTTGTTTCTTTTTTTATTCCTAAGAATTTCCACTTTGAATTGGTCACGACAAGGGGTCTTACTCTAAAACCACCTTCACTAGCTGTCAGCTACACCCTTAGACAAAAATATATATCGTAAGAGCCTAAACTATTTTACAAATTTTATATTTTTCATTTATACTGATTCGACATTTTATTTACAAACGTAACATATACAAATTTTTATACAACTTTCTTTAAACAACTGATAGTTCTTTTTAATGTTTGATATTCAAAATCAATTTCCGGCAATCGAATAAGTTGACATATTTATCCGATTAAATTTTTACTTTATAATAATAGATAGCATGAATTGAACGCACTTAGCTTCAAGAGCGTAATTTAGTTGGCGGGCGAGTGCTTACTATTATCTCGGCGAAAATTTGATTTACAGCGGCGGAAAGCTGGCGAAAGAAAGAAATTTGTACCGAGGGGGTTAGAGACGGTCAACTCTGACTCTAAAGCAAACATGGCTGGTTTGAAAATGATCGCGAGCTTCTTAATGTTAACTTTCACTAATAAGACGCTTACATTGCATACTAGAACGGACTAACTTAGGTAATCTTCAGATCCTTTCATTCATTCTTAATAGGCTATTATCTTGGCGAAACTTTGATTTACAGCGGCGGAAAGCTGGGGAGAGAAAGAAAATTGTACCGAGGGGGTGACTGATGGTCAACTCTGACTCTAAATCAAACATAGCTGGTTTGAAAACGATCGCGAGCTTCTTAATGTTAACTCTTAATAATTAGACGCCTACATTACATACTAGAACGGACTATCTTGGGTAATCTTTCAGATCCTTTCATTTATTCATTCTTATAATCAATTCAAAATTCCCTTTCAAAAACCTTCAATGTAAAAGAAAGAACTAATTCTACTCAGGCTTAATTCAGCTTTTAAATTCAAACATGGCTAGCGCAGCCAGTTTGAGTCTTCAGATGATTGACAGTCAGGTAAATAATTAGAAATGAAAGCGCCACCTTGTATGAAAAGGAAAATTATAATCCCAAACTATGTGTTAAGAGGTTTTGGATATGGAAAATAACTTTAATTTAGGAAGTTCTGCACTGTTTGTTTACATTTGAATGGATCACAGCTTGAAGAATATTAGACGAAACAGTACATTGTTCGACTCGAAGTCTGCTAGTCATGAAACCTTTGTCATAGCGAAGTTTATATTTAGAGGCAGTCATGAATTCGTTGTGTCACAGCGGGGTCAAATTGCGGGTACTCTTTCAAGATACCTTTGTCTCATTTGTTTCCAAGAATTATTTCACGGCACTCGACCTGTCATGGTCGAAACTTTGAAGCTTCGTTTGCCGTTAAATGATATCTGATTCTTGCCTCCCCTAGCCGGCTTAACTGGCGATTTTGGCGATGTGCGAAAATGACTATTTGCGTCCCAAGCCTCTCGCAGCCTTGCCGCCTAACGTTCAAAGCTCACACAACCGCGAGTTACATGTACACAGGCATTCGCAGGCATGTCTCCATAGCAACTCAACGAGCAGCGCTGCAGAGGTTATATACCATCGACAACAAAACTGTTGATTGCCAAGGATGCTTTCACTGATGAAGGGTATTTGTCGGCTTACCTAGTCAAGCAATTTTGATAAGTTTTTTTTCTTCTCGGTAATGCAAGCGTGAATGTTTGGCCATTCTCAGAATTTTGATGATAAATAGCATGCTTTGTTTCCTCCCAAAATGAATACAGCAATGAAATTCAATCGGCTGTCAATGACTTTTTGTTTTTAATGTCTAAAAGAACCAACGAGCATCGTCGTTTATACGCATGACCAATTAGACATATATACGGTTGAGATAGGAAAAGTTTCTAGAAGAGCGGATGACTCGATTTATATCTTCATCTATATTGAAGCGCAGCCGACAGACAGTAATTCTGAGCAAAGTTAGTCGAGCAAAGTGCCCTGTCTCAAGAAAACTACTCAGAGGAAACACATTCTGTTTATTGTGGTCAAGTAGAGAATAATTGTTGGCAGGTATGTCTTTCTAGTATGTTCCAGGCCTTATATTCCTAGCTTCAATAACTAATTACTTATAGCCAATAGCTCCAAGTTTCTTTGTCACTCAATCGCCAAAGGGCGAAAGAGCACATGCAGCGAAATGTTCTCATAATGAACGTCTGAAAATATTCTTTCACGCCAATAATTCAACCATTTGGTATTCGAAATGCCGTAAAGCTGCCTTGATCGACTTATTGTTGAGGTAAAGTTTAGGAATTCCTCCAAATGGTGTCGCTATTTCCTCTGCATTAGCTAAGATGCCCATCAAAAGTCAATAATTCTGAGCAAAGTTAGTCGAGCTAAGTGCCCTGTTTTAAGTAAACTACTCAAAGGAAACATTTTTGTATTGACGTCAAGCAGAGAGTAATTTTGGCAGGTATGTCTTTCTAATACGTTCTATGCCTTAAATCTAGGTTTTCGCATAACCACATTCCTAGCTTCAATTAGGAATTCTACAGCTTTCCTCCTCAAGGCTACCTCAAATACAGTTGAATGCGTTTTAACTATTCAATGCAAGTTTAGAAAATCAGAAGAGTCCATGCGATCCAACTCAAATTCTGGGAAATAGTTCACCTAAAACAGAGAACACTGCCTGTGTAACAACGGAAACGCGTTTAAATCACCCGAAGATCACGTGATGCACCTTGGGTAAAGATCGTGAGCTTCTTAATGTTAACTCTCCTTAATAAGATGCTTACGTTGCATGCTAGAACGGACTATCTTGGGTAATTTTCAGATCCTATCATTCATTCTTATAATCAATTCAAATTCCCTTTCAAAAACTTTTGAAATAAAAGGAAGTACTAATTCTATTCAGGCCCGCAATGAAAAACTTAACTTTTTAAATTCAAACATAGCAAGCATTGAGTTTTCAGATGATTGACACCGTTACGTAACATATTGCGGTTTGGGAATGTACTTTTCCTTCTCATACAAGGTGACACTTTTCATTTGTTTTTATTTCAATTATTTGAGAGGTTTTGGATATGGAAAATAACTTTAATTTAGGATGTTCTGCACTGGTTGTTTACATTTGAATGGATCACAGCTTGAAGAATATTAGACAAAACAGTACATTGTTCGACTCGAAGTCTGCTAGTCATGAAACCTTTGTCATAGCGAAGTTTATATTTAGAGGCAGTCATGAATTCGTTGTGTCACAGCGGGGTCAAATTGCGGGTACTCTTTCAAGATACCTTTGTCTCATTTGTTTTCGAGAATTATTTCACGGCACTCGACCTGTCATGGTCGAAACTTTGAAGCTTCGTTTGCCGTTAAATGATATCTGATTCTTGCCTCCCCTAGCCAGCTTTATCGACGATTTTGGCGATGTGCGAAAATGACTATTTGCGTCCCAAGCCTCTCGCAGCCTTGCCGCCTAACGTTCAAAGCTCACACAACCGCGAGTTACATGTACACAGGCATTCGCAGGCATGTCTCCATAGCAACTCAACGAGCAGCGCTGCAGAGGTTATATACCATCGACAACAAAACTGTTGATTGCCAAGGATGCTTTCACTGATGAAGGGTGTTTGTCGGCTTACCTGGTCACGCAATTTTGATAAGTTTTTTTTCTTCTCAGTAATGCAAGCGTGAATGTTTGGCCATTCTCAGACTTTTGATGATAAATAGCATGCTTTGTTTCCTCCCAAAATGAATACAGCAATGAAATTCAATCGGCTGTCAATGACTTTTTGTTTTTAATGTCCAAAAGAACCAATGAGCATCGTCGTTTATACGCATGACCAATTAGACATATATACGGTTGAGATAGGAAAAGTTTCTAGAAGAGCGGATGACTCGATTTATATCTTCATCTATATTGAAGCGCAGCCGACAGACAGTAATTCTGAGCAAAGTTAGTCGAGCAAAGTGCCCTGTTTCAAGAAAACTACTCAGAGGAAACACATTCTGTGTATTGAGGTCAAGTAGAGAATAATTGTTGGCGGGTATGTCTTTCTAGTATGTTCTAGGCCTTATATTCCTAGCTTCAATAACTGCTTATTGCGAATAGGTCAAAATTTCTTTGTCACTCAATCGCCGAAGGGAGCATGAGCACAGGCAACAAAATTTTGTTATAATTAATGTCTGAGAATATTCTTTCTAGGAAATAACGCAGCCACATGGTAGTCGAAGTGCTGTAGAGCTGCCTCGACTATCTCATTGTTGGACTAAAATTAAGGAATACCTAGAAAGGTTCTCGCTATTTCCACTGCATAGGCTAAGATGCTTATAATGTCACGGGATATATTTCCAGTGCAGTGTTCTAAGGAAGATTTTGCTTTTACCCATTGCTTGCGCATTTGAAGTAATCTAGGCGGGTTTGCGTGTATAGTATGTGACTGCTAGCAGCAGTTCAACAAGCGTGCCATTGTCTTGTGATAATGAGAGACCCACCAGGAGAGCAAGTTGTTTTTCTAGGAAAATCGAGTTCTCATGAGCTAACATCAAGTCTACAATTCATATTACGGCGGGCTTGAGTGAGACATGTCGAAATCTGTCGAGAAATTGACATTATGACTAATCTATTGAGCCGAAGAAAAATTTTGTTTAAGCCCGGATAAAGTCCATTGCAGTTTACCAGAGGCTTTTGAGATCTTTAGAATAGTAATGTTCAGTTATAATAACGATATAATCGTAAATGTTCGAAAGTTTTCTACCGTATCGTTTTAGTAGCTGTATAGTACATGGGCTGAGTGAGATTTTCTAGGATACAGATTCACAGTAAATTCAGGAACCAGCACATTCACTCCGAAAGAAATGCTAAGGTCAGTTTACTCATTCAAGCTATCGAGTTGAACATTCGAAGAGAAATTGTAGATCTTAGCGCGCTCATGTTTTATTCTCTATTGAACTCGCGATCGATACCATTTCATTCGATAAAGTTTACAACATTTAAACTTTTGGTGGAGTTATTCAGAGGGAGAGATGACCAGTGTCAAGAACATGCTGAGCCTATATAACGGATATAACGTGCGCTGTCATCGGTTGAAAGAGTTTCTTCCATCAGAGTACAAAGCACGGTGCGGAACCATAAGTTGTCGCGCCAAGTGCCAATTTGTACAATGTCCAACTTCTCTTTCGCCTTTTTTCGTCAATTGAAAGTCAAATTATTGAACAAGCGAGCGGGCAAGTAGCAACAGAAGAACTAACAAAGGTATGAAAACATGTCAAGCGCCGTAATTCATGAAATTTCAATGCCTTGAGGTGAGTAAAGACGAATATCACCAAAGAGAAAACTAAATGGACTTTCCGACTTATGAAGGTTTTTACGCTCAGATCGATTGTCACTTCAGTAGATGCAGTAATAAAGCTTGCACACAGCGAACACTCGTAAGGTATATGTAGTTTCGTGTCCAAAAATAAAACAGAGCAAAACAGGAATTGATGATAAAAATCAAGGTGTCGGAGAAATTGATCCTAGCTCATCAGGGCGATCTCCGGTCATCGCAATGATGATGTATTGAGTGGAAGGTCGCAACAGCCGAAGGGACGCTTCCACCCCGAGCAATCTTCATGTTCCTGTGAATTCGGCTGTCGATCATTCATAAAACACACCTCTTGAGCAGTTTGTTTTCCAAGTTTCACGTTAAAAAACTTGCGTGTTTTCACGAGCCACAAATTGGCCGAATTTATCCGAACATTTCACTTTCAGATTCTTTATTTAGACTTACAAACTTCAAGCGAAAAAATTAAATTCGAGCTGTCGAATTATTTGGGTTTGTGAACCATCAATACCACAAATGCATTGATTAAAAATTTCACTTCAACTTCAACTTCATTGAGATATTTATACCGAGATGTAATTTACATATCATTTTATATATAAGTATATATATATATATATGTATATGTGAAGTTTGTCTTTTGATTTTTCCGTAGCACAGTGCTCGATACGTAGAAGTAAAGCGCGATGTATAGGGAGATAAGGAAAAAACAGAGACTATATAGTTTAATCCCTACAAGCCTGTTTCGTGATTACTTATTCATCAGGGGATTTTATTGTTAAGAATATTCGTAACCATCGTTTATATACTTTACAAATTTGCATAATGGGCGTGGCAGTAAATTTCAATGCTTTGTATAATTGTACGCAGTAACGCTTTGTTTCTGTGCCGGCATGAGGACACGAATTCATTACGTTTATTGAGTGATGATAGTTCAGGTTGGCGGATGATAAATAATTTTTCTTTCAGGCAGGGGTTGCATCTTATGATTGCGCTGTTGTAGGGTGATCTTAATGCAAGCATGCGCCATGACATAAAGTGGTCATGAATATTCTTAACAAAAAAAACCCCTGATGAGTGAATAATCACGAAACAGGCTTGTAGGGATGAAAGCATAGTCTCTTTGTTTTTTCCCTATCTAAATAAATAAATACACATATATATAAATATATATAAATATATATATAAAGTTCTGTCTGATTATATATAAAGTTCTGTCTGATGAGCGCTTAGGCGCGAAACTCAGAGTCATAGAGAATCGATGCGTCCTCTTTAATTCTTTAACTTATGTATACTTAGCTCTGCTACCACAGCATCGAGCACTTTATGCCAAGGTAGACTCTACCCCCACATTTATTTAAATATATACATATACACATATACATACATACATATATCTATATACATATATTTATATATATATATATATTTACATATAAATTTATATATACATATATATACATATATACACATAAATAATACAAATTGTTACTAGAACCCTCAGGCCAACAAAGATGCACCGCGCCAGGAGGATCAATAAAGATTTATCACTAAAGATTGATCACGCTCGTTCACGTGATTTTGTATCTTATTCATTAGTTGTCACCTGTAATTACGTAATCAAACAATGACAAACGGAAAAAATGATGAACAAACAAGGTTCAGAAGTATCTTCAGTCACAGTAACAAAAATTGCACCACCTCTGCATGATAAATTTTTTAAACCCGAGCTTATGCAAGAGAAAATGTTCCATTATTTTCTCTTGGCTCATGAAAAAGTGAACAAGGTTTGCAGAGTTTTCCCGTTCTTGAGACAGCCAGGAACTAGTTACTGACTCAAGGAAAGCTTTAAAAAATTTAAATTCAGGGGCCCTCAAGTAGTTTAAGGCCTGGGTCAGGAGAGTAAATTGCCTTAAGAAAATAAACAGCTCTATCTCCGTAAATACGCAGCCGATTGCGCTGAAACTTTCGTGGACGATAGTTTTCCGTAAGAACTTTTACCTTATGGCAACAATACCGACGACGAAAGTCACATGTCGGGTCACGTGATCAAAACGCTGCTCAATCAATTTTTATCGGAATTGGTAAGATTTACACACACTCTTCAATGACCAATGAATGAAACAAATACTCAGTAAAAATTCTAGCCATCTACGTCTGGAATGAATTTCCTTCGTTCCTTCAAAAAGAGAATTGAGATTTGTTAGAGCTTCGAAGAGAATTTTGTAAACTTAATGGAATTTTGTTTGTTATCATCTGTACTTGACACATCATTCCGAACGTGAAGACAAAGTTTATCAATGCCTTCTTCCATTTTTCAAAAGACAATCGCGTGAAACGGAAACTTCAGCACCGGCGGATGCGTTATGATTACTCCTTTTAGGGCTACGAAAAATGCCGCTATTTTGTTTCTTTTCGTTAATAATACATGAGTAAGACCTGACTATTACATTACACCGCTGATTACAAAGGTGCAAATCGAATATGGCAGTCAACATCGGTCAGAGGACAATGACTGCAGCGAAAAGCGATACTGCTTAAATAACTGACTTAGTTTATTATTCCGCGCTCTAGAACAGTATTTTTGCGACTCTTGAAATTCGAGGAACGCTGAAATACTTCAATGATGATTAATAATTTGCGTTTGTTTGTAGTTGCTGTTGTTTTTTTTTTGCAATTTCCACTTGTGGAACGCATTGTTTGTCTTGTGGTTTCCTGTGGAGTCAAATATACGACAGCTTTTACATAAATAAAATCCCAAATGTTTCTCTTGCCTTGACTGCCAAGTCAGTTTACTAACGGGCAGTCAGTTTTTCAAATTTCAGTTTGACATGCTGATTTGCTCATGTTAAGTTATGGGGGGGCAATTTCCCTTGCCAAAAAATACGAAAAAAAAAACAAGATATGATAATGAGTCAGAAAAGGCATAAGCTGGCATCTGGAAGAGAGGTATTGGCTGTACAAGGAAAATTTCAAAGAATATCTTCATCAACATGTCAGCAAAAGTGTTTCTTTTCTCTACAAACCTTTTGAAGGTTTCCCAATACTTACTGATAGAAAAAAGCAGCATCAACTACAAACAAAATTCCCTATCATTGATAAGTTTTTTCCTAAAGAATTATAAGGCCATTGATCACCTAATTTCACAGTGGTCACCACTGAAAAATAGAGGAAGTAACTAAAAACATTTACCATTGAAAGCTGGCAGCAAACTGTCCCGCATAAATCAACCCTGTGAAGAGACTTTTGTAAACTTAATGGCGTTTTGCATTTACACCCTGCACGATGTTCATGCTTTATTTTAACGACTCCAGTAGAGAATATCTTTTACAAAAAAAATACATGTTGTGTGGTGAACAAAAAGGAGCTATTTACAGATGTTTAAAATCAAACAAAAGAACTGGCTGGCAAAAAAGATTTCCAAACAAACACAGAAGGAGGTGAAAAACTTTGGGACAGAGATCTACAGAGAATTTGACAAAGTATGCAAGGAGTGATTGGGAAAGTCCTTTGGCGAAGTAATATCCCTGGTTCCTGAGGCTGGGTGAAAAAAGTAGGAATCACCTGTTAATGCAAAGAAAAAAAACTGTAAAGCAAAGATAAAATTAATAAAGAAGGTGAAAATTCTTTAAAAAAAAAAAAAAAATTATGTAGGCCTTCACCCGGCTCAGCGCATATCATTTGCAAGGCAAAGAACAGTGGAATGCTTCAATATCATCAATGAAGCAGAGGAAAGGGTCAACAATACACCAAAGTGACAACAGAGGTTGTATGTTCTCACAACATTGGAACAACATTGGGGACCTTTAGCAGCTGCTGCTGGATGTCACTGTCAAGGAGTACCATTCAACAGACAAGAGGCAAGTGTCCCACCAACCAATGCTGGGCAGGTTTTAAAAGAGTATTCAAAGTCTCAGGGAGTAGACACCAATGTATTAGAAAAACAAACAAGTAAGTTCTAGGTTGTTCTACACACCAGCAAATTAAATGTAGTGCTTAAAGATTCAACCATATCACTCTGTTTTCTAACAGACACTTACAGAATACATGTACAGCCCTCTTATACAGATGAAAAGATCATAAAAAAAACCATCCAACTCAGTTTCATAACCAAGTTGAAAGTCATTCTTAATCAGTAATAGAACTTGCAGTTACTGATCAGAAGGCAAGCTCAAACAAAAAAAGAAAGTATTTTCTGTGCAGAAAATTCAGAAAGGTCAAAGTTAAACCACCTCAAAACATTTACCAGCTCCAGGTGCCATCTCTTGATAATTAGATGCCACGTACATAGCCAATCCAGTCACATGAAAGCATTTCTTTGATGGTCATTCAGTCAGTTATGTTCAATAAAATTTTACATAGGATTTATACCTTCCAGCTTATTCTGATTTTTCATAAGACCCCGCAACACTTCACCAGATTCCAGTGTTGTTGGATGTCAAAAGAATTTGCTGTAAACAAAAAAGTATAATAAACAATATTGTTAAGTATGATTAAAAACAAATTTTGTTTTGGTCATGGGCATATCACTAGCCTTTGGAATGTAACTCAAGCCTTTGTCATCAAAGGTTAAAACCTACCACTCATTTTGACAAGTCTCTCGTGATCGACTCAGCCAAAATCTATTTTTCACTGTTCATGTAAGAACACAACTGTGTAAGTATAGCTTTTATTTTCCTCATTTATTCGAAAAGTACAAGCATTGTAGCTTAATTGATAAACTCTCTTTGTTGAAGCTCATAGGACTCACAGCAGTCTCATGTTGATGTTGCCTAGAAAAGTGTTGTGCTGCAGATCACTGTGAAATTTTTGACTTGGGATTGAACGTACCACAGTATTCAGTTTTGATAAACAAACAAATGTGATCTACTCTATGGGAAAGGTTACACATCGAGGTTTATAAATTTTCGCTCATCCCATACTGATGAGAATGAAACTTTCCCAAGTATACTAAAAAAAATTTAATCGCTAGTTTAGTAAACCAAAAAAATGCATTTTCCTTGAACGCTCTTAATTAATGGTGTACGCGTTAGTAAATTCGCAGCTACAGCAAATTAGAGCTAATTTATGAGAAAACAACACAAAAACAACACTCACCTCAACTGTAAATCTGACATCTGCGAAAAAACAGCGTCGTCTGAAACATTTAGGCTAGAAATCGATCTTAACTTCCTCGAAAACATGAATTTTCTAATCGTTGATCGGCCGCCATGTTACCCCTCTCCGATTGAATAGCATGAAACTCTGCTGGGGGTCTCGATGTCGGCCAGTTGCGATTGAAGAGATTGATCCATGGAATGGCATTTTGAGCGTCTACTCTTCTTTTTTGCTACTGTTTATTCGGCATTTTTTCGGTTTTATAATCAAGACCCTAACGAAAATGATAGTGACGTAAAGCGAGGCAAGAAGTAGTTATATTATGACAGTCAAGTGAGTTTTGGATCAAGTAACGTTAGTTCGCCTGTGGAGTGAGATAGCTATCTGAGTGCTGAAAATGGGATGTTTTTGCGCAAAATCTTACTGAGATTTCTGTTATTCATATTCTCAGTGAAAATAAACAACTCTTCCTGTGCTCCTTTAAAGCAAAACATCAACGTTTCGACGTACGTAACCATGGAGAGTCCTCCAACATCAGCATTTGCTAGTTCTACAGAAAAGAAGAATGGTGAGAAGTTATGGAGTCTTGTTACTAATGGGGGAGCAGCAGTATTAAGGATCCTCCTGAGTAAATCTCACTCCCCTCAACCATTAGCTACTTGGCTCGGTCAGCATAAACAAACACTCTCAAGTCTCAAACATAAGGTGCTTTATAATGATCAATGGCAAAAGCTCTTTCCGCCTGATAGAACGCAACCAGATTGTGAGTCATTTGACATAACACTGCTTGTGATCCTTTTAATCAACATTTGTGGTTTGTCACCTCCGAACACCGGATGGAACAACAAGCCTGCTCAGAACGACAAGTCCACAGAAGCAAATATTGTTCGCATCAGGTATTTTCGAAATCTGCTCGATCATGCTCCATCAACTGGAGTTCCCACGCAAAAGTTCAACACCTACTGGGAGGAAATTGCTGATGCTTTGGTTGCCCTTGGACTAGATCGGAATGAAATAGATGCCTTAAAGAAAGAGGAAGAGTTAGAGAAACTGGCACGTTTTGATTTTACAGGAGACATAAACCATTACCTTGCTAAATTTCAAGACAGAACGCGAGAGTGGATCTTCAATGAGGTCAAAAATTGGTTAGATGACAGGAGGTCGCCGCACCGTGCAATGCTGATCACTGCAGTTGCCGGAATGGGAAAGTCCGTCGCCAGTGCAGTCATTTGCAAGAGAATGCAAAAGGAAGACAGGCCAATAGGGTGTCATTTTTGTCAACACAGCTGCGACTTCTACCGTGATCCGAAACGAATGCTTCAATCACTGGCCTACCAGTTAAGCTCAAAATTGCCAGAATACAAAGCAGCCCTCGTAAAGCAGCTCTCCAGTGACCGTGGCAAAGAGCTAGAAGATATGAGAGTGGAAGATCTCTTTGTGTGGCTGTTTAAGGAACCCCTTTCCGCTGTGTCAGACCCTGGCAGAAACGTCCTCGTGATAATAGATGCCCTGGACGAAAGTGAACTCGATGGACGCAATGAGTTACTTGATGTCATCGCCAATTACTTATCCAAATTGCCGCTTTGGATAAGATTTCTTATTACCGCAAGACCAGAGAAAAACATTTCAGACAAACTAAGAAATCTGAAGATTTTCAAGTTGCAACAAGAGGATGAGCGGAATCGTGATGATATCAAAACTTTCTTTGAAAAGAAACTGAATTCTGACGTAACAAACCCAGACAGCCTCAGCGCAATTGTACAAGAGTTGGTTCATCTCTCGGATGGCTCGATGCTCTTCGTATACTTTTTAATACAAATGATCCAAGATGGCGCATCACCAGTAAGTCCAGAGGAACTTCGTCGACAATTCCCACATGGCATTTCCTCAGTTTACCAGTCCTATTTTGAGCGAATGGAGAAAAGACTGAAGGAAGAATTGAAGGACAACTACGGCAGTTTTTTGACTGATTTTCTGAGTGCTTTGACTGTTTCTGTAGAACCTTTGCACAAAGATTTCATCGTGGACATACTGCTGCAAAACCGTAACACTTCAGAAAGTGATCCCTTGAGCGATCAGCGAAAACTTGAGGGTGTTATTGGCTGTATTTCTTCTCTTTTCATTCTTCGAGACGACCATGTTCACATGTTCCACAAATCTATCAAGGATTGGTTGACAGACCCGTCCAATGGATTTTTCTTCGTAGAGGAGAAGGAAGGTCATAAGATTCTGTCTGAGTTGTGCGCAGAAGTACTTGAAATTGTGAAGGGACGTCTTGAATACCTTGCAGAACCGCCGCCTCAAGCCAAGATAAAATACGCCTTACGACACGGTGTCAAGCACATGCTGGAAGCATTAGAGACAGAAAGCGCTCAAATGGAAGAATTAGTTCAAGGGTACGTGACAGATCTCGAACTCGTTTATGCCAAGCTACGTACAGAGGACACTGATGTGCTTAAGGATCTTGTTCTTGTACAAGAACATCCTAACTCAAGGGAATTAAGCGAAGAAATCCACAATACGATTGAAAGCCTTTTACTACAATTCAAGAGAAACCCTAAGTTGCTTCGAGATACTCCTGGGATGATTTTCCAAAACCTACTCAATGAAGGAGGATCAGCGCTTTATCAACAGGTGTCTGATACTCTTTTGAGTTCCCATCCAGAAATACCATATATGAAGCTGTTGGACAAAAATGGTCATCAAGGCCCTGTTGTTGGTCGTTTTTTCTGCTCTGACAAAGTGGTTTGCTTTGATGTTTCCCCAGAAGAAAAACTCTTGGTAAGCGAATGTCGTGATGGACAGACGTCGTTATGGTCACTTAAGACTGGAAAGCGGCTATGGGAAAAAGCTTTATTAAAATCGAGAAAGTCGTACAATGAAGTTCCTCTTGGAAGTGCTTTTCGACAGACGTGCGAAGGCAGTGAGACTGGGAAAAGGACTTTGTCGTTTTACCGTTCCACTGTCTTCCATCCAGACGGTTGTTCCATTTTGCCAGGAAACTTGGCCAAAGTTTACAGCTTAGATGGAGAACCGAAGTCACTCTTTCCAGAGAGCAAATGTCATTTCAATGTTTGCTATTTCTCACGTAACAAAACTAGGATGTTAACTGATTGTCCAGAAGACGCCCATCAAGTGGTCATGTGGAACACCAAGAATGGTGAGGAGATCAAACGCTTCGAGAGCGAAGAAACCATAGCTTCTTTTGCTATTTCTCAAGATGGAAGTCGTGTTGCGATCTGCAATACAAGTGGCTTACTCTGGTTACAAGCTGTTGAAGATCCCAGCTGGAAGAAAGCACCTCCAAACATTTTTGGTGAAGGTAACCCCTGTGGACTGTTACATTTTACAGAAGCGGGAGTTCTTGTCGGTGGTAGTATCCAACATGAGCTGTCTGATCACCGAGATAAGTACAAACTTTCGGTGCCAGCGCTTCAGTCACAATCATCTTGTGTCTTGTGGCCGTGGGAATCGGTTGATTCTGTTGATAGATTGAAAGTCGTTTGCAAGACATTCCATTTGGTTTCTGCAGACTTAATAATGGGATTTTGCCTCATGTTACTAAAAGATTTGGCAGTGGTCGGGAGTCCAACGGTTAATTACTTGACGATGCTTGATATTACTCGCCCCCTACAAGACGTAGAGATGCCACGGACAGCACAAACTGCGTTTTCTGCAGACAACGGTAGCACGCGCTTGTACACAACTATCGCTATTTGCAACCATTCGGCAGAAATGGAAACGGATGAGTCACGCTTGGTGACATTTACTATGCGGGACGCAAACAATGCCAGGGAAGTGAAGCAGGAAAAGTCCTTCCAACACAGTTCACGTCGTGTCAAGAATGGAGTCCTGACTGTAATTGTTACATACAATGGTGAGACAGGTGTTCTCTTGCAAACAGACAGCAAGACATTAGAGGTATGGAACAGTGACTTGTCTCAAGGTTTTAACTCTATCACCATGATGGGAAAAATCGAAAGACTAATTCCTGTATCGCAAGATCTTGTTGGATGCGTTTTATACACGCCTAAATTTTCATCCGAAGGACAACACGAACTTACAATCGCCTTGTTTGATGTCTTCGCGTGGAAAGTTGTATTTGAAAGAAACTTGAGTGGTAAACCAGATCTAAAATCGATTGCGTGCAGTCTTCAAAGAGATGTGGTGTTCTGTGCAGAAAATGACGCAAGAAAGCGCGAAATGTTTTTTTACAGGGGTGAGGCAAATGTTCCCATTTGGAAAGAAGACGACATTTACCAGGGCGGTTGCAACTGGAGACATCCACACTGCGTATTTTCTCCTCAGGGAGATGTAGTCGTCACATGGAATACTCTGAATAATGGCTATGGATTGCACGCTCTCAATGCGAAGACTGGAATGAGGAAGCAGGTATTTCTGGAAAACTGTTACGACATCGCAGACAGCAAGTTCCTCAACGATGGTGAGACTATGGTCTGCTACAGATACGAGTCTAACGTACAAATTTTCAATGTTACGTCCGGCGAAGTACTAGCTGTCTTGGACATAGGAGAGCGCCCGACCTGTATAGGATGTTCTCCTGGTGAGCCTCGTATTGCTGTTGGCCTACGTTTTGGAAACGTAATAGTGATTCGAGCGCATGTGCCAAAACTACGGAGAGCCAACCACAAACAGAGGAAGGGTGAGTTAGTGTCTCTATGATAAGTGTCAATGGGTTACAATGTAGATGGTACCTGGTTCGCTGATTGATTCATCTGGGTGATTTTTCACTGTTGTGTTTAAAGAAATTGATTTTTTCTTACCTTATTCATGATAAGTACCTGGTCCCGCAAATTTGAGCCTCCGTCGCCGTCAATTATTTTCGAAGCTTAAACCAAGACGAATTGGGTCACTCGCCTATTTAATTTACCATGTGTTGCGCCTTGTTTGAGTCATCGTGAACTTCTCGGGATGTCCATCTTTATTTCATTCTTATTGGCTGTTTCGGTTTCTTTGGTTTTGATTTAACGACTCGTAAGAGAAAGCACTCTCTTAACTTGCTTTGTGTAGGTAAGCATGCATGTCCCACGAACATAGCATTCATTTCCTTACGACAAAAAAAAAAAATACTCCTGGGTCCTTAGTCACCAGATTCCTTGAGGGCATGTCTAGGGTGAAGGCATTCCTGCCTACTGGATCGCTTATGTCTGCATCCAAATCTCTTGGACCTAAGCCCTACCGTTTCTCATGATGCCAAATTTAGCCTTGTTACAGAAATCATCATGTACGTTCACAATTGCAGGATTTTTTTTTTGCAGGACCTGGTGAGAGTCTAATTAGCGGAGATTCGCAAACCAAGAGGAGTTAGTGTCTGTGGGATGCCTCGGAAAGGTGTTAGCTCAAGAATGAAATAATCGCTATGAACACTTTTTTAAAATTTCATTTAGTGACTGTTCATGAGAATTGACAAAGTCAGAATTGATTTATAAAAATAATTGTTAGAAAGACCTCATTAGGGATCCCAGGGAGCCAAGATGGAAAAACTGGGGAAAACGTCGATGAAAAATTGATGTAAGCTTATCGTGAGAACTTCTTCGTTAGTATGTGAAGAAGTTGGAGTTAATTTCATAGTATACATACCAATCAATCAATCAATCAATCAATCAATTTATTTAACGTGGTCAGAACGCTTAGCTAAAAGCTAGTTTTACAGGTACGCCACGAAATAAAAAGAGAAAAGGAAATTATAAAGCCTTATGAAGGTATATAAATTTAAATAAATTAAGATTAAGAACTAGCTAATATTAAAATATAAGAATTTAACAATTTAGTCACCAAGTAAAATGTATAAAATGTAATCATTAAAAACAGTAAATATAATCAAGGATAGATCCTCATCACACTAGAGTCCTTTGAGATCTAATGTTTTAAAGTAATTTTTAAAAGTAGTAAATGTTTGTATCTTTCGAGACTCGTCCGGTAAAGCGTTCCATAATTTCGATGCAGCATATCTCCATGATCTTAACCCGAAGGTTGTTGATTTTACTTTTGGGAGGTCCAGTATTGTGGTGCCCCTAAGGTTATAAGTGGAGCACCTTACTGTTATAAGATCACGTAAGCTTTTTGGACCTGCATCACTGGCTAATATCTTAAAGACAGTGGACAATATTTTCGCTAATCGCTGTTCACGAAGACTTGAGAGACCGATACGCTTACAAAGTTCCTCATAAGGCGAGGACTTATCTCTAAAAACAAAACGGAGCGCACGTTTGTTCACCAACTCTAACTTGTCAGCTGACTTTTTATTACAGAAGTGCCACGTTTCGGAGCAGTAATTAAAGTGTGGTAAAATGAAAGCATTATAAAGATCCCTTCTAGTCTCAAAAGACAACATTTTCTGCATCCTTTTTAACACGGCGACTTGTTGACTGACTTTTCTACATATTTTAGCAATGTGCTTTTCAAAATTTAATTTATCATCGATTGTCACGCCAAGAAGTTCCATTGTGTTGGATATGGGAAGTTGTGACTCCTCGCACTTAAACACTGGTTCATCAGTTCCTTTTTGTTTTCCCAACACGATAGCCTGGTATTTTGAACTGTTCCTCTTCATACCATTACGCGCAAACCATATATCAGCACTAATAAGATCATTGTTGATTGTTTCTTCAACTTTGGAGAGTTGATTGTCGGCGTAAAAGATTTGAGTGTCATCAGCGTAAGTGGACAGAGTGCACTTCTTGATGACATATGAAAGATCATTCATGAAGATGCTGAATAATAAAGGGCCGAGGATGGATCCCTGTGGTACACCATTGCATATAGGTTGCCAATTGGAAAGCGTATCCCCCAGTCTCACTCTTTGGAATCGATTTGATAAATAATCTTTTATCAGGGAGGTTGTTGCTTCATCTGCTCCATATTCTTTTAATTTCAAAACAATCAGTTCATGAGGTAAGGTGTCGAAAGCCTTGGACAAGTCCATGGAGACCAGACCGATTAATTTATTGTTATCAATTTCTTTTTTCCATTGTTCGGTTAGACTAAGAAGTGCTGAGTCGCAGCCGTGATATTTCCTATAAGCAAACATATATTTGTGATAGATTTCTTCAAAATACGGGCTTATTCGGCAATGAACAATTTTTTCGAAAACCTTCGATATAGCTGGCAGAATCGTTATCGGCCGATAGTTAGTTTTTAATAGGCTGCAGTCTTTTTTGAGAATTGGAGTGACCTCGCCAAGTTTCCACTGTTGTGGTATCTTAGTTGAAGTTAAAACATGATTAATCAGTGTACTAATAGGGAAGCATAAGACATCCATCGATTCTTTATCTGCTAGTGGAGGGATCCCATCACATCCAGAAGCCTTGTTTGGAGCAAGTTTCCTCATTACCTCGTAAACTTCTGTTGGATTAGTGTTGCTTAGTGACACATTCGGCCTGCTTATTAGGTTATTTGATATGTGCGATAAATCTATTGGATAGCCGTTTTGATTTTGTTCTTTGGCACTTTGAGTACAGCTTGTGAAGAAATTATTTAATGTCTCGGTCACCTCTTGAGGATTCCTGATGATTTTGTCACCCTCCTTTAATGTTATTCCGCTATTGTCTACATTATTTCGGGAATTAACATAAGGCTTGATGGCAGGCCAAAACTTCTTTTGATCTGCATATTTGTCCGAACACAGCTTCTCAAAATGTCTACGTATAGATTTTCTTCTCATGCTAACTACTTTGTTGCGCACTATACAGTAGCTCTCCCAATCACACTGATTACGTGATCTATTAAATTTTTTCTGAAGCCGTTTTCGTTCCACCATTTCTTTCCGAATTTCAGGAGTGATAAACTTCGATTCTACTGAAGATCGTCGTTTGAAAGATCGCATTGGTGCGTGGTCATCTAACACCTGGTTATATAACGTCTCCCAGCACCAGTAAACATCGTCTATATCATCAAAAACGTATGCAGCATGAAAAGGAGCTCGACTGAGATCTTTCTGAAAATCATCTCGGTTAAAGGTCTTGAATATCCGTTTCTTGACGACTTCGGCGTTAGCATGTAACATTTTAGTTTTGAGAACCGTGTAAACTAGCAGATGATCACTGATTCCTGCTTCGATAGCGCCAGACGATTTCATAAACATGGGCACATTTGAAAGAATGACGTCCAGGCAAGAAGCTCTAGTTGTTGAAATTCTTGTCGGTTCTTTAATTAATGTGTCGAGGTCATAGATATCGCAAATATCCAAAAGGCATTTGCCCTGGTTATTATTCATAAACGGATGAATTATGTCACAATTTAGATCACCAAGACAAATCACGTTTTCGCAGAGAGATATCGCTTGATCCAGGACTGTAGTCAATTCAGTTCTGAAAGTAGCATTGTTAACAGAAGGAGGCTTGTAGGCACTGACTAAAGCAAAGCGTCTTTGTCCGATGTGTAGATCGAATAAGAGTGATTCCACTGATGTTGTAATGCCTTTCTTACATGTTGCGGCGATGTTATCGCGAATAAAGACGGCAAGACCGCCACCACCTTTCGTCCTGTCACGGCGAAATAACTTGTACCCGTTAACATAAAATTGAGAGTTAGGAAAGGATCGATCGATCTTAGTTTCCTGTATGGATACAATGTCGAAGGCTCTGTTCGTTAGCCACTCCTTGATCTCCTCAAATTTGCTTGGTAAACTGTTTACATTTAGGTTTGCTATAATGCATTCCTTGCGATTTTCGTTTCTAATTAACTTCATGTCCGAAGGTTGTGAACTAAGGTCCAGCTCAGTGTCGCTCGCGATTTCATGCGTGGAACTATTCAAGGTGGAAAAGAATGAATCGCTAAACTTCGGCAAGGCACAGAAAGAGCATATCCAGTCGACAGATGGATTATTAAGATAGTACTGAAAGGTCCAGTTCGACATATTCAGACATCTTGCATGCGACCAGGTGTTGCACTCAGAACATAAAATGGCGTCTTGATTGCTTCTTACGGATTTAGAACATTCACCACAAGGATATTTCGTAGGCTTCCTTCTCGGACCAGGGTTAGGTGAAACATCTCCAGAAATCAACAATCTTTGCGCTTAAAATGTACCTACACCAGTAGCAGTGTATAATAATCTCCCTCCATTAAAACGCCTCGATGCGAGCTTGAAAGGTAGTTTGTAGTAAGCACTTGACGTTATTAAGTGGAGTGAAATAACCAGTCGCGTACAGCGTTCGGGATGCATAAAACTGCAGTTTGATGACTCACGAAATTCTCGTAGAAGTACGACAAGGAATAAAAGACACAATAATGTGCCGCCCATACGGACGTGTCTGACCGCCATGATGGCCTGAACAGTACAATGACAATGTAATCAAGGTGATCAGCATTAAAAAAAGCTAGATTTTTTCTTTCAAACTACTGAAAAGTTTCTACTATGACGGAGACCTTAAAGGCATTTTTTAAAAAGCACATTTAGCTCCCAAATCAACTTAGTTTTTAAAGACACAACTTATTCAGTTGCACATAAACAACACTAGAAAAGAAAATAATCGACGAAATTAGAAAACCAATGATTAAAAAAAAGAAGAAAAAACCAAGCTAGAAAAAGGAAACAAAATGAAACAAATCTAATTCACTGAAAGGCTAAAAATATAGGCATTGGAAGGTGCACGCTCTCAACCGTTTACACCATAACATCAGTATGCATATTCCCCATACTGTTCTCTATTCATTTCTTAAGGTGCTGAGACACCCAACTTACACAATCTAAATGGCTAACACCCATATAATCTAAATTTAGATCAATGGGTTCAAGCCGTCTCAAATGATCATCTAAGTCTTCCCAGTAGCTCATTAAATATGCATAAACATTTCGACCAATCAACTCCCTTCACTTCGGATGCGTAGGGGGGAAATCCTTTACCGATTGGAATAGTTACGAACTCGATAGCTTTTCTTGGTGTGGAAGTTCAGGTATTATCGGCTTTGTCGTGTACTTTTGGCGCTTCTTCGTTACTAAGACCGACAAGGATACAAGTAGAGCTCGCAAAAGAACATATAATAAAATAAGCGATGTACAAAGGTCAAAACTACAAGAATATTATGACGGCGGCATGAAAACATGCGGTTCTGATAATACGGAAAAAATTGGAGTGGCAGCCGAGGAAACTGGGCTGACTATTGATCAAGTAAAGGTAAGATATTTTTTAGTTGGACTGAAACACTACCATGTTTCATGTATGTGGAATACCCCGCCACTTATTTGCATCTCGTTGAATAATAATAGCGATCATTATGGTGAGTGCTTCTTTCTTCAAAGCACACCGACATATATGTAAATGATGTAGCGGTATATTGTCCTATAGAATTAATTCCCTTACTCTGTGTGCTGCATAAACGAATCTTTTTAAAGGATTGATTCTTAAACAGAATTTCATCCGTCATATACCGAGGTCAAGGAAGTTAACTGTACGATTGTACTATTCATAATGAGGCCTTGTGGTAATTATTTCCCTCGTTAATTAAAGTAGGCTTACTTTTTTTTTTGAAAATAATTGCTTTATGCAGTTTTATGCTCGAAAATACGCTTGCAGTGTGCAGTATAATCAATGATCAAGAATATGCCGGTAAAAGAAGATATGTGTTTACTCATCCGTTTTTATAAATTTAAGAATATATATTGTGTTACCATTACAAATATTGAGAGCTAACCGCAAGCAACCTTAGTTAAAAGTGGGCTCTGTAGGCCAAGAGAAGAGCTAGTTAGGCCAACCTGAGTGCTCTGAGGCTAACCAGAGTACAAGTTTGGCTAATTGGAGCTGAAAAGTAGGCAAACCAAAGTGTTAATAATAGGTAACCCATAGCTAACGATCGAATCCTGGTTCGAAGTTTAGGTATCCTCAATCTAGAGCTGTTAAATGTTATAATCACATCATCCATTCGACATACATGTACATACCAAGAAGATCTACCTTTATTGATTTGTTGCCAGCCAATCATTCTGTACTGGATTGAAAATTTGCTCTGTATACAAGCTCAGAGTTTCTGTGAGCAGCTTGCATGGGTATTATAGGGTCAGGCCCTGCCAGGGGGTTCCCTGTGTTGCTTGTCTGAATTTAAAAACCTACGGTGTCATTATTTTGTCTTTATTTCTCCACCTTGTTGTTGTTGTCAGAATTTTGGTGAACAAGAACTTAATTTTTTCATACTTTCATATATATGCCACAGCTACTTTTTGGACCATGCCCCCTGTAGGAATTTACCCTGGCTGGGCCTCTATAGGGCCAGCCAGTGAAAGAGAGCAAAAAGGGAAGGGTTTCTATTGTAGCTTAAGGCATTTTGAAATACTTTATTTTAATGTGGTACATTTATGTAGAAATGGATTGGAAATGCCAGACAAAAGGAAAAGATAAATTCTGGAGTACAAGCAGCTCCAAAGCCAATTAAGATCCCAACTGGTTCACGTGGCTCACACTCCTACAACATGTTCTGTTCAGAGTATTTCAAGTCAGGTGAGAACCCTGATAATGTTTTCAAACACTAAGGACAGATTATTTACATGCATTATAACTATTATAGACCATGGCTAAAATATAGGGTAACATTAGAGGTGTACAGTCCTGGGGCATGGGTGTGCAAACCCCCCCCCAGTTTAAAAAATTTTCAAAGTCCAAAGGTGCCCATACGCCTATGGGTATCATTAATAAACCTCTACTAGTCTATTATTTCTAAGAAATGAATATTGTGGTTTTCTCTGCTAACTGTGCCTGCTGGACATTTATTTTATTTTGGTGCCAGGATACCAGATTTAAATCAATAATGGACAGTGGTCTTGTTAAACTGTGTCTAAACCCCAGGGGGGGTACTTGCAGGGGTGGGGTCTGACAGAGCTCTATATTGCAACCCAAAAGGGTTTTCATCCTCAGCTACTTTTAACCTTTGACACCATAATAGAGTTGTTGATTAATTTATTTTCATTTTTAGTTGAAGCAATATCTTTGATTGCTGAGGAAACTGAAAATCATGCAGTGACATTGTAATAATCAAACCAATTGAATTGATATTCAGTGGAAATGAAAGCTTTAATTTTTTTTTGCTAGATGAGTGCAAGAAATTGTCCTTGGCTCAAAAGAACGAAGAAGCTGCCAAGAAATGGCGTGACATGACATCTGCAGAAAAAGATGCGTTCAAAGGAAAAGCAGAAAGTTTAAAGGCCCCTGATGTTTCAGAGCTTAGTGAGGCTCAAAAATCTAAGTTGATATCAGTTCACAGGAAAAATCTTCTAAATGAGGTAAAGGTTTCAATCACTTTATGAAATAATCTCCAGCCAAGCTAAATTCCAATTAGGTAGCATAAACCATGCAAATTCAGAATAACTTAAAACTTAAAAAAAAGTGGATAAGTAATTTCTAATTATCGTACTCTGTGGGAATTAATGCAACATGCAGATGTTTGTGTCCTTTTGAGTAATCCTCGTGCCACATCATCTGCTTCAGATCATGTTTCTAGAAGACTTGGGCTGTGAATCTTCTCTGATTTTTCTAGACACTTCAGGCCAAGTGTACAACTTTGGATCAAGTGCAGGTTTCTCTTTCTTATGCCTGAATCCTGACATCAACATCAAATTCCGAGACCACTTTGGTATATATTATTACTTTGAATTAGTAATATTATAAACATTGAAAGTGTTTTATTGATTTGTTGGCATGCAACTGTATTAGCAGATGTTTATATAGCTTATACTATTAAGTGTGTCATCCAATTGACGAGATTATTCATGATTGTAAATAAGGTGAATACATCATCAAAATAGACCTGAAACTACATAGTACCTCTGTATTTATTTATTTAGCTTGCACCAATGAGAGGTACACATACAAAGATGTACAACAGCTATTCAATTCCAAATACAGTAAGTTTAAGAATATACATATTATTCACTATAGTACAGATGTTAACATGTAATTGTTGTCATCATCATCGTCATCATCATCATCATCATCATTATTATTAGCTCTGATAATAACAACAAAGCTGATGATGTCTATAACAAAATCCTCAAACCTGATTGGTTCTGAACAGCGAATATTTGATCCTTAATCTGAATACTGTAATAAGAAAACTGTCCAATTTGGCCTGTGTGATTACAGCTGCTTTTAACTGGACAGGTCAAATCTGACAATTATGCAGCCAATAAAAATCCAGTAGAAAATGCCACTAGCTAATGAAATTGAATTACTTATTCTTACCTTGTGTCTCACATTTTGGCAAAGAAAGTGTCATATGGGACATGTGGAAATGGTCAATAAGACTTACTGTCATACATTTCAGGGGTAATCAGGCTCATTACTTGCCCAATTACTTCCTGAATTGTACTCCACTCAGTGCTATTATCATTACCAATCAATGTTTCTCTTGCTCTTGCACAATAGGTGAAGCAATAAAGAAACCAGGCAGCAGGGTGCCGTATCTACGTGGGGGTTTTACAGTAGAAAATCTCCCAGATGGCATTTTCTTTAAGAAACCCTTCCATTATGGCACTAAACAACTCCAGGCCATAATGGAGAAAAAAAGCGAAATTAAATTCGTGATTACCAGTAATGCAAATGTAAACTTGCAAAGCAACAGGGATTTTATTCCCTCTCCAACTCAGCCTGAAACAGTAGTCACTCTTCTGTCCAGGATAGTGAACAGACAATGTGCAGAAAGGGTAGTTAGACTGTCTGACAAGATTAAAGAACAAGATGTGGAGGTTGTGGAGTTGAGACTTGACCAGGAAGAGAGACTAAGATTAAATGAATATAGTTTTTATTTTGAAGATGATGCATGGCTTGCTGTTGGTGCTAATATTCAACACTCCACAGAAGCACAAGGGCTTATTGTCCCAGTGTTTACTGAGTCAGAAGACGAGAAATTCTGGCTTTTCTACACTATCCAGAATCCATCAAAACTAGTCAAAGCTTCATTTACTTACAAGATAAAAGGGTATTGGCTTGACTTACAAGGCCAATCCAACTACAAATTACTGAACAATCATCAGGATTATGTTACTATTGCCAACTTGATAAAAAATGGACCCTATGGACCATTATATTTTTTGCAGGGGATGGAAATTTCAGATGACCAGTATTTTAATATACCTGAAGTATTTAACAATGCAATATTTGCTGCCTTAAGAAGTAGCACTATTATTTAAAATTTAACAATATGTACTTTTCAATTTAATATACCTTTTCTAAGAACCTGTTGGAAAGCCAATTTTATAGCCAGCTGACATACAGAGAATCCTAAATTGTAGTTCTTAAATTGTTACTATTATTAAACTATAAATAATGATTAGCCTAGAAGTTTGTTTGCTAATTTGTTGATCATTTTCAGTGGTCCAAGTGGTGTGTCTACAAATGAATACAAAATCCAGTATAAAGTACTTTTATTACCTATTACAATAGGCTACATGCATGTCATACTTTCTAACAAAGACCACTTGTAGAAGCTTGATTGTACAAAGAAAACCAGAAACATTACATTTTGCCATTTTTGTGTACTAATGATAAGTACTTTTCAGAATATTTGCCAATATTGTGTACTTTTGGTAGGTGGTAATCAAAGCGTCGTCCAACCCAGGTACATCCCTGTAGTGGACAACATCTAATGGGCCTCTTGGTTTTGCTGAAAATATAGGAAAAATGCAATGTACGTGTCAAAATGAGCATGAATTGAAAAAAGTCAAGAATGCTGTGTACAGTAGAGAAAACACTCATCTATGTAACTACAATGAACACAATCCTCTGAAAAACAGAACTGAACAATAAGAAATGTAATAAAATACCTATTTTCCTGATTTCCTTTGGCCTTTCCCTGATTCTTTTCACTCTTTAGCTCCTTAACTTCACTCTTACTCAGCTTATGTGCATGTTTCAAATGGTTGGAAAGATTATTGTATTCTTTCTGGCAAATCTGGAAATAAAATTATAGAAAAATAGATATGTGAATATTTCATTTTGGATCATCATGACTGCTTAGCTTGTTATTGCAAAATGACAGCTAGTTGAGATCATCATTTAGATAGGCCAAGCATCAGCATATGACCTGCAAATATCTCTCTACAAAGAATGATCTATTCATATGTAACATTGTTTTGTACAAATAACATTCCAGATGCCCATACACAGCTGTGCTCACAAATATTCCAGCAATGCTGCAGATTGTTTCCCAGAGTTTTCAGAGTCATTTGACCCACCCTTATCAGAAAAGAATAGAACATCTAACCAGTATATGCAGAAGTAGAACATTTTTTTCAGTTATTTTAACCCTGGTGAGTTTTTTAGCCTGGGTTTCCAACATGAAATTTCCCACATGCACTGTAGTCTAGCCTATACTCCACCAACTGTGCCAACTGTACTGGATGGTGGTTGGATAAGGGTGGTGAGATATTATGGGATACAATTCTAAAAAACTGTCTTGAGCAAAGAACAGGTGAAAATTAGTCAAAAGAAAATTAAAATAGGCTGGGATGGGATATAGGAATAATGCTTAACAGGTTTCTAAACGGACATAGTTTGACACTACTCTGGTTTGCAGATTTAATGAATGTAACCGAAGAAGTTACGATTCATAGACCCAACGTTTCTACACTCCTGTCTAGTGCCTTTATCAGGGGTGATCTAAACGCTGCAACAAGAGGTCCTTTTATATGATCACTAATTAGGTTTCTAAACTTCAGATATTTAAAATTATTTGTTTGGAAATGTGAAGTCATGGGGCTGGAGAAAATGGCACGCTCTCCACTCAGTGACTTTACATTAGGCCTTTTATGTTTCTTAACATTAAGAAGGGGGTCATGTGAAGGCTAACAAGCTGCAAAGGGGCCAATGATCCAAAAGAAGGGGAAACAGTTATGCAATCATAAAACACATGCAAGAATGCACCAGGATAAAATAATGATAGGACTAATTTATCACAAAATGTCATGATATATTAGTGTCTTGCAGATCAGTTACTCATGCCTTACCCATGCTAGTCTGCCTTTCGCTTTGGTAAATTGATCTGCACATTGTTTTGCTCACCTTTGTCCAATAATTTTAAAAAGTATTTTCTTATCGTATGAACAAATGGGCCAATAACAACATCTTAAAGGTAGTTCTAGATGTCATTCTCACACCACTGTACAGACTCCACCACCTCCAGGGTTTGAATCCTTTTGAGTACCAAGATGGGTGTCTTTTGTTTACATTTATAAATCATAGTGCTACATTCATTCTATATAGGTGTAGATTATATGTAGGAGCCTATTACTTTATGAACCAGATGGTGGAGTTGACCTAAAATTTTTGTATTTCATGCTTCATACAATGGCAAGCTTAGCGCATCCTTTCTCAGTTAATTGGCATTTTCTCAATGCACCTTTCAACATAAAGCCCAAGAAGAAGAGGGGTGTCTGGCTAGCCATGGAAATTTGACTATGAGGGCAGTCCCCAAGGTAGGTATTTTGATTTTTTGTAATGTCCCCGGGATGCATGGGGAATTTTGGCACTTCGTTATAAATGACCACACTCACTTGCCCCAGTGTAGGGATTTTGATATTTTTTACCAATTTCGGTGTCCAGACTGGGGTGGCATATTTGAAAATTATTTGGACAGAAAATATCAAAATCCCCAAACCTTGCTTGACCCCTCCTCCTGACCCCGTCTGGTGCATAACATTGAAAGCTGCATACTCACACTGCAGGGATATTTATAAAGTTTTTTCCTCAGTCGTTTCTTCCGCTGTGGTGGCTTTGGCGGGTTATGATCATTCAAATGACTTAAAATGCTTTCGGCCTCGTTGGACATCTTCATCTTTATCAATTCCATTGACATTCCTGTACGAATTGAGGTTGTCGACTCCACGTTTCGGATCTCATGGAAATGGCAAACAAGGTTTTCCATTAAACCGAGAAAGTGGCTTCTTTGCGTTAATCCAATATCCTTTGCCACTTTCTTTTCTTGGCGAATTTGAACAACAAGATCGCTTGGGTCGTATCCGTTTTCAAAATGGAAATACATTTCAAAGGGCGCAAAGAGCAGCGTAAGTTCGTGACCTCGCTCCCTGTGGCTTGTCTGGGGGTCTGGTTCCCAGTCCATTGATGTTAGAGGTAAACTGCTCTAGCATTCCTCGGCCTTCGATCCGAATCTTTCAGTTCGGAAATGTAGTTTACAGATATGCCACGCACAACACGTTTTGCGTTTTTTTTTTCCAGTTGCAATGGATTAAAAAAAAATGAATCGCAGTGTCTCAGTGTCTCAGTGCGTCACCATCCCGTTCTTTTTCCTCGCCTCCCCCTTCTCCCGCCTCCCACGTCTCACACTTTAACCCCCCGACCCTACCTAGACAAAATGTTTCTACGTTTGGTACTTTGATCGACGGAAAAACATGGCTTCTCCTCGATGTAATGGAGAAGTTTCATATTATCATGGCGCAAGGACATCAGCACTCATTGTGCTAATTTCGTTAAAAGAATTTAGAAAAACTTCACATGGTTAGCCAACCCACAGTAAATAGCTGTTATGATATCTTTTGGCTGTTATGATATCTTTTGGCAGAAACATGAATTCACCTTCAAAAATAATCTTTAAAAATATCCGTCCGTATACACAATTGTAAACACTGATGAGGAATACGGTAGTTTAATGCTATAACGAAATCATGTGCTAAACCTGACTACTGGACTGTCTAGAAAAGGACAAAAAAAAAAGACCTTTAGAACAATTTTAGGAAGAAACTAGTAGATAAAACTATTACTTAACATTGATTTCGTCAGGATAATGATATTTTAAGAAATATTCTAGTATCATCGAGGTTGGACGACGATCGACGTCGCGTGTGACTTGTGGTTCATTTGCTACTTGATGTACAGTGACAGTACAACACAACTTAACGAATAAAGCGAAGATCTAGAGTTAGCAATTGAATGCGTTAAACCACTGCGCAATATGCAGGACACTTTTGCAGAGTAGCACTGACTGGCTGTTTACCATTTCAACAACACAATCCGTTAAATCGCCTGAAATAATTACAACTTATAACTTTTTCTCAGTAATTCCGGCACGTGCTAATTCCGTTACGGGTGTGTCAATTTCGTTATGGCCTCACGAAGGACGTATACTGATATATTTTACTTGATATCATACAAAACAGAAATTTGAAATTATGTGGCTCATATTCACTATTTCATGGATGCCACCAAGATATGTATTGCCTAAACACTTTCAAGACAGATTTGTTAGGAGCATGTATATATATATGCTCAGTTAATGTGACTGCGTTCATAAGAGGCACTGTATAGTAAGGTTACACAATGAGATCCATTGCCATCTAAGAATGAAAGGTGGTACATGGGTATATCTGCATGGCCATTTTTGTTGGACGGGTGATGGTTAAGCATGCAACGCTCAAAAAGCGTCACCTCAGTTCAGTAAGGATGGTCCGAATTGACAATGTACAGAAGAACAACGACCAAATTCAGTATTTGGCTTGTCAACTAGAGTATTCAAACCTAAGTTATAAAGTGCCTTATATATGCGATAATTATAATACGGAGTTTATAAAGATATTCGAGGCACCCACCCCATACTTGCTAATATCTATTTATCTATCATTCCTTTTGGTACAGATGGACAAAGATGACTAATGTTTTTGTTCGACAATGGTGGACCTCTCAAAATTGATAACGGTGACTCATGGTCCGACATCTGTTCCACGCCTACAATTGTACCTCCAGTGAACTCCAATCCATACAAACATGATTTTTAATAATATCAGAATACAGAGTTTGTATGGGAGTCTAATAAAACGGAGTTTTGACTAGTTGGGTAAGTACAGCTGTCCACTTACGAGTGTCCGTTGAGGGAGCTTCGGCACCGATCAGCATATAAAATACGCCGTCTACACATGCTACGTATAATCCTAATAACGTAAAAACTGCTACAAATCACCACCGAGATGAAATTTGCCATCGGTGAGAATTTATTAAAACATATTGTGATGATTGGCCAGTCAGTATAATCCTACACAATGTATTGATATTTGTTGGGTTTTCCGAGAAGTTTACCCGCTATTGGCGCGCGCACATAAACAAAACAGAGGCTGTTTCTGTATGGTTTTGGCAAGCGCCAGCGACAAAATGAGTTTTATTCATTATCGGATAATTCGCTGTCTGATGTCAGTTCCAACACAAAGGCCTCATCGTCCACAACTTCCTCCATCATCGATTCGTCTGATTTCTCGTCATCTAGAGGATAGTCGATACCACTCAAATTAGCATAGGTTTTTGCTACCTCAGCATGACCAATAGGTTTAGGGGAATTCAAGATACCACCCCATAAAAGCAGCAGCGAGGAAATGTGATTACAATGAATCATCCGTTTCTTTTTAAGACAAGCTATCACTCCTACATTAAGAGGGTTATCAGTGTAAGGCAGATACGCATCCACTGATTCGTCTATAAGCCTGATTTCGTTTTGGAGAAAAGAGACAAGGCGATTCATTTCCTCCTTCAACAGTTCAAGCTCTTCCTGACTCCTGTTGTGTAAGCAGAAAAGGTCAATTATCTGCCTCCAAACAAGAGCAGGAACGGTGTCCCCTTCCTCTTGGACTTCAGAGTAAATGCTGCTCTTAGGATCCTTAGCATCGTCATAAAGAATTTGGGGTACATCATTGGGAAGATACCCATTTATTTCGGACAAAGTTTTGTGAATGGACTTGACGACTTTGTCGATCTGCTTTGCGAGCTTTATGGCAATTGCTTGGCCATCTGAAAATTAAAAAGTTCATAATAACTAAAAACGCAATTCAGTGGCAGTTTTACGGATTAGACGGAAAAATGTAAATGTGTAAGACTTGAGAACTGGGAAAATTTAG